GAGCTCCAGATCATGTGTTACAGGACATAGACCCATCATCCATGCTACACACTTTCAGAAGGTCAGAAATAGCAGCTTCCATGTTTCTCATGACAGGTTACATTTAAGTGACACCACATCAGGGATAAAGAGGATTAGTGTAATGTTAGAGGAGGTCTAGTGCGAGAATTATTGCTTTTGCTTTGACGTTCATGGAGATACCTCATGTGTGTGGTTTGAACACCGTTTACATATGTGGGCATGGCCTATGTATGCGGTCACCACTACATGCGAGCACGGGGGGACTTTAAACTTATTTTTATTATTTAGGTTTTTTTTGTACTGTCCTTTTAAAAAAGTTTAATCACTTTTATTCTTATCACAAGGAATGCATGCATCCCTTGTTATAGAAATAAGTGACAGGTCCGCTTTATGGAAAGATATGGAGTCAATAAGACCCCACATCTCTCCTCTGCAATGTACAGCATTAGAAAAAAAAAAAAAAAAAAAATTGATCTATTGCATTATAAAAACAAAACAAAAAAAAATTGCCCAGAACTGGAAGTGACATCGCTCCGGTCCTATAAAGGCATAAAATTAGGTGGAGGCCATCTTTCCTTCACTAATCTCTATGCCCAGTGCTGGGATCGTTCAATGGTTTTCAGGCAAGGCTGAGAACTACTGAGTGGCGGCCGCGACAAGTGACGGCAGGCGGGTTTTTATCAGCACCTGTATCAGTTCTGTTTTTCATATTGGCCGATGATCAAAAGGGGTGTTTTTGGCCGAAACGTTGCGGCCGTCAAAATTTTCGTGCATCCCTACAGATTACCCATTACAAAAAATGAATGCTGTTCCCGATGGAGATCCTCTCCTTCCTCTTACAGAGAACTAGTAATTAAGGTTTTATAGTGGGGTCCATTGGTTTGAATCTTACCTCACAGCACCTTCAGTGTCACTTACAACTCTACCTCCTCCTCCCCTACTCCTATTACTGTCGGGGTCCCCCAAGGTTCTGTCCTTGGACCTCTCCTATTCTCGATCTACCCTTCTTCCTCGGTCAGCTGATTGCTTCCCATGGTTTCCAATACCATTTCTTGCTGATGACACAAATCTCTCTACTCCTCAGTTCACCCCATCAGTTTCCTCACGTTTCACCTATTTACTAACAGACATATCAGACTGGATGTCATCACTTCCTAAAACTCAATCTATCCAAATCTGAGCTCATAATATTTCCTCCCCCACGTGCCTTTTCCCGATTTCTCGGTCAGGATCAATAGCACCACTATCAATCCATTTCTGCATGCCAGGGTGCTAGGGGTGACCCTAAATTATGAACTATCCTTTCAGGCCCACATCCAACCCCTGTCCAAATCATGCCACCTCAACATCTCCAGAATATGTCCCTTTCTAACCAATGATACCACAAAGCTCCTAATTCACTCCCTGGTTATCTCCCTCCTCATTGGCTTACCTTTATATAGGCTATCCCCCCTCCAGTCCATCATGAATGCTGCTGCCAGGCTCATCCACCTTACCAACCGTTCAGTGTCCTCCACCCCTCTCTGCCAATCCCTCCACCCCTCTCTGCCAATCCCTCCACTGGCTTCCACCCCTATCTGCCAATCCCTCCACTGGCTTCCACCCCTCTCTGCCAATCCCTCCACTGGCTTCCACCCCTCTCTGCCAATCCCTCCACTGGCTTCCCACCCCTCTCTGCCAATCCCTCCACTGGCTTCCACCCACCAAATAAAATTCAAAATACTAACTTAACTTAAAAGCCATTCACAACTCTGCCCCCAGCTAAATCACCAACCCGTCTCAATATAAACCAAACGGCTCTTCGATCCTCCCTAGACCTTCTGCTCTCTAGTTCCCGTGCCACCTGCTCCCATGCTAGCCTCCAGGACTTCTCCCATCCTATGGAACTCCCTACCCCAATCTGTCCGGCTATCTCCTAATCTATCCCTTTAGACTATCCCTGAAAACCTTCTCTTTAACCACTTCAAGTCCAGACACTTTTACCCCCTTTCTGTCCAGGTCAATTTTCAGCGCTATCACTTTGAATGACAATTGCGCAATCATGCAACACTGTACCCATATTAATTTTTTTAGCTCCCCACTGGGGTATTACTTTTTTTTTGCTATGTAAATGAAAAAAAGTCCAAAAATTTTGAAAAAAAAAAGTGTTTATAAAATTTTGCAAATAAAGATTTCATCATAAATCTTGGCCAAAATTTATTCCGTTATCTTTTTAGTAAAAAAAAAAAAAAAAAAAAAAAAAAAATGAATAACCCAAATTAGTTTATAACCAAAAATTATAATTTAAACTTTATATGAATTTTTTTTAACATACTGTCACCCTAGCAGTACAGTGTCACCATGGTGACACTACTACTTGTGGGGGGTGATGAAGATTTTTTTTTGAACACAGATTGTATTTACACCCATAAAGGCAGTAAAAACAATAAATTCTACTTCTCTGACTGCATTCTTGCAGCCACTGAGAACTACTGTGTGAGCTGTGATTGGTCAGAGCTTGTCACATGGTACAAGGCTGTTGTGAATAGCCCTGTACCATGTGACCTCTGCGATCATTCACAGATTTCACACATAGTAAGCAATGATGTCAGAAGTGACATCATGCTTACTACCTCTGCATGTGATCACCGATTGGCCAATCAGTGATCACATGATCGGGACCTCGCACAGAGGTCCCGTCCGACGATCGGTGTTCCACTGTGTCCGGAGGACACAGCGGGCACCGGATCGCAGTGCTGCGCGCTCCCAGGGAGCGCACACAAGCAGGGTGCGGGGAAGCAGTTTATAAACCGCCACCCGACCCTGCACTGCCACCGTCCGGCCGTTTATATACAACGACTTTACGGGAAGTGGTTAAAAGAAGCCTATCCTGCTTCCACCTAGTAAACCGCCATTTATTTCCTCCATCAGCTCATCCCTCCCACAGCTATTACCCTTTGTATCACTCAACCCTTCCTCCTAGATTGTAAGCGCCAAACAAGCCAGGCCCTCTGTTTCCTCTTGTACCAAATTGTATTGTAACTAATGTCTACCTTCATTTTGTACAGCGCTGCACAAATATTGATGTTATGGGATTTTTAACCCTTTCAAAACCCATCTGATCTCCAGCCTGACTTTGTATGTGACCTTTTTATTAAAAAAAAAGTGACAAGTTCACCTTTGGGAACATGTCGCACCCATTTTTAGGGTGAAACATGTAACATCCTCCCATAGCCGCAGCACCCCCCCTTCAGATAATACAGGGAGAAGTCTCCCCATACTGTCTTGTCAGAATGAAACCAGTGACTGTGCAGGGCTCCGGCCACATCACTAATTCACAAAGTTCTGTGAATGAGTACCAACAAGTGTCGGCAGCCTTAGAGGCTGTGGGCTTGTAGTTTTCAATGAACTGCCCCGGCCCTGTGGAGCGCAGTGTTCGTTAAATAAAGCCTCCTGTCAGAAAATCTGCTTGGCCATATATCCCTGTAAAGCAAGCGGATATTCTGACAGGTCTGCAGGAGACCTGCATGGCGTCAGCGATCTACATTACAGTCCCTCTGCTTTCCTATTAAAAATTGACCACTTTCCCGGTATTGCATTTACAAAAAAAAAAAAAAAAAAAAAAAACGACCCAGATTACAGCCAAGAACTGACCCCTGCACAGCCATTCACTGATTCACTGGGAAGATCAATGTCCTGCTGTTTCTTCTCCACCAGCTCCCTGTTCTCAGTTGCATAAGGAGCTAAGAGGGCACATACCAGGAATATGAAATGTTGGGTTTACATTCTTTAACCTTCTGAGCAAACATGGCATGCATGTTGAAATCCAAAACCGCAGCCTTGTTACGGTCACTCAGGAGTTAACATGATGGTTGAAATGCTGCCTTTTCCTGCCTCCTCCTGTACTAGGGATTGATTCAGTTTAGCTAAAAAGGTCCCTGAGATGCAGATCGATCAATGTGCAGATCTCTAAAAATCCTTAAGTTGCACCTCAAGAAACAATGGCAGATCTTGTATTCTTTTACAGAAAGGTTCCCTTCCTCTTTCTCCAAAAAGACACATGAAATGCCAGATCCGCCCCTTAAATTCACAGGTAAATTAAATATATCTCACCATTTTTTGGATGGACACGACAAGAGGTTATAGGGTTAAACTGACAAAATGGTGCATATCTGTAAACCAGTAAAACACTTAAAACTGAACTCCACTTACTACTTTTTTTGGGATTCAGAACCAGTCAATGAACTTAACTCAAAGTATTTAATGCCCTGCTGCCATTTACTCCATCAAAGATGCTACACACAGCAGTGATCTTCCAGAACTGGCATGAGAGGCAGCAGCTGCCTCTAAGGATCTTGTTCACCCTCCCTTTCCTCATCTTGTCCATTCAGAAATCACCTTGTGTTTTCACAGAATAAAAGGCATTCTTTGAATAGATGAGGGGAGATCCTGTTTTTCTTTCATGTCCTTCGACCCATAGAAGCCCCTCAAACACAGCAGGGGCAGAGAAGTGGGAGAAAAGATGATTCTGTAGCACCACAGCGTAACCATCGTTTACAGCACAACGCTGGTTTAAAAAATGGTGCAAGGGAGATTCTGTTTACCTGCCCCTCTATTCGAACATCTTGTTAAACAAGGAAGGTGTTGAATGGACAAGGAAAGAGGAATACGAAGGGTAACAGGGATCCTTCACTCTTCATCCCTGCAACACCAGAAGATCAATGCTATGCACAATATCTTGCTGAACAGAAAAAAGGATTTGTATAAAAACAAGTAGGATACCCTTTATTAGAGGTAAATTGTGGACACACCTTTAAGCAGGTCTGAGAATCCAGACAACCAGATTTACTTTTTTTTTCAAACTACCAGACAATGTACCTGGTGCTCTTTAATATCCACAGACTACCAATGTATTTGTTTTCTTACAAGACTTCAATGCTAAAATTGCTATGTGGGGAAAAAAAAAAAAAAAAAAAAAAAAAAAAAAAAAAGCTTGTCACTCACCCCCAGAAGTGACGCAGGCCTCTGTGCGCCTTGATTTTCTTCAGCCTCTCCAAATCTTCACGGAGTTTGTTATCCAGACCGTTGGCCAGGACCTGAAGGTGACAAGATCTTTAATATAGGACAACACAGACAGGTGGGTAATCATTCCAGGAGGATCCTGACCGATGAGTGTATATACTATAAAAATATTCAGAAATACCGGGGACTCGCTCCTTTAACAGCCAATGTCTGAACCCCCAGTCTTACCTGGCTGTATTTGCCATCCTTGATGTCTTTCTGTCTGTTCAGGAACCAATCTGGGATTTTGTACTGACGAGGATTCTGCATAATGGTGACTACGCGCTCAACCTGGGAACAGATTTCATTACAATTATGATATAGACGAGACAGGACCAAAACACAGTAACATCACAACCCAGAGACCCACCTCATCCTCAGTCAGCTCTCCTGCTCGCTTTGTCAGGTCAATGTCAGCCTTGCGCAGGACTACGTGAGCATAACGCCTTCCAACACCCTGCAATATAACAAGTATTTCAGATCAGTCCCACAATCCAAAGTTTCCAATTACACTTTCAGAAGTTTCAACAATTCCTCATTCAGCTGAAAATGTGATTATCCCCATTGGAGAGATTTTTCATCACTTCCTGTCCTGACAGGACATGATGTCTCCCTGCAGAATGCAATAAAAACCTGAGGGGCGTCAAACCTTCCACACTATACAAAAACGTAACATTCAATTGTGTTAGGCCATGAAGTTAAAGGATAAGCTCACATTTCATGTTACACCCATATTCAGCATGTAACATGTTATCAATAGACCAGCCACTGCTCTCCCCCTGCTCTGACAGCAAGTGAGGGATCTTCTTCTGTAAACACACACACACAAAAACACACACACACACACAAAAACACACACACACACACACACACACACACACACACGAGGAAGTGTGCAGTGCCTCTGCCCACCCACATCACTCATTAAGTCCTCCATGAATGAGAAACTACAAGTCCCAACAACCTTAGCGGCTGTCTGCTTGTAGTTCTCAATGAACTACCAGGGGGGGGGGGGGGGGCTGTGGAGCACCATGGTAGTTAATGGGTTCTTCCTGTCAGTATATCACTTGCTCACACATCCCATATGGCAAGCAGATATTCTGATAGGTCTGCAGGAGGCCTGCAATGGTCTACACTCCTGAAACAAAATATAAAAAGGCACATTTTTTTACCTGCATGTAAATTTTTTTTTTTTTTTTTTTAAGCAAAAGGCGAACTTATCCCTTAAGACTCTGCAGAATAATCAACAGGGTGATCAACGGAAATCTCACCTTAATGGCTGTGATGGCAAAGGCGATCTTCCTGCGCCCATCAATGTTCGTGTTCAAGACACGCAGAATGTGCTGAAACTTCTCCGGGATAACTAGAGACTGTGGAGGAAAGGAGGACAGATTTAAACCGCAATCCAAAAACGTTAAAACTGAAATACAGGAACGGTCACTGCTACCCAATGCAGGCAAATAGGAGCCCCACACCAACCACAGCCAAGAGAAGATTAGATCTCTAACCAGCTACCAATGAACATGCTGAGGCACTCAGCTGGTTAAAACCACATCTACGTTATCTGCTCAATCCAGCCTGTATGTGTCGCTCCCCAACTTTAAGCCCAGATGACGGAAGGGGAGATATGACCAAATCAATGAATTTCTTGCATTGTCTTCCACTGGAATAAACTTGTATCTGGAATATTAACTTTGGGTCCAGACAGCTTCTCAGATCCATCTGTTACCATTACAAAGAAAGGAAAGCGCTGCATTCCTGAAAGGAAGTGTAGTAACGCGGTAGTTCCATGGGTGGGGGTGTGTACAGGTATAGAGCGTAGTAATGCAGTAGCGCCAAGGGTGGGGGTACAGGTGTGGCGAGCGATGCAGTGGCACCCCGACTGGGGGTACAGGTGTGGCGAGCGATGCAGTGGCACCCCGACTGGGGGTACAGGTGTGGCGAGCGATGCAGTGGCACCATAAGTCAGGTCAATGGTAGGTCCACATAAAGAGATCCCACCACATATACTGTGGCGTTGTACAGCCCTCACTGGCCCCGGCAGGACACCTCATACACCGGCAGGGGAGGAAGGCTCTGGGAGGGCCCAGTCTGAGGACTCCGCACACACTGAGGCTCAGGCCGGCCTATAGGAAGTGCACAGAAGGCTCAGGCATGTCCAGATTCCCCCCCCTGGAGCCGTCACCCCCATACACCTCCCCAGCCATGGCTACTCCCCCCAATATCCCTCCCGGCCGCCTCAGCAGCCCCCCGACCCCACAGACAGCCCCATAGCGGCCCGCAGACTCTCCCCCGGCCCGGATGGCGGCGGATAGCCGGCTCCCCCCTACTATATCCAGAAAATTCACTCACCATGGCGGCGGCTGCAGGGAAAGAGAGAGGAAGAGGAAGTGACGTCGGCCACCTTTATCCTGAGCCGGCCCCCTGACCTCACTTCCGATACCACAGGGGGATTCTGGGGGCTGTAGGCCACAACCCGGAAATAGAGGCGGAAGCGGAGTGGTTGATGTGTTTGGGGGGTCCAGAGAGGTGTCAGAGATGGCTGAGGTGAGAGGGATGGGGATATCTGCTGCTTGTGTCTGGTAGTACGGTGCAGGCCTGTGTCTGCCTCTGCTGCCTGTGCATCCCATGTGGTGCGTTGTGTCTGCTCCTCCTGATCCATGTGAAGAAATAACCCCTGTTGTAGTCATAGGTGGACACTGGAAGGCTGTGTCACCTCCTGGCTGCTGCCATCCCTTTATATATGCAGCAGTGAGGTCTCCCCTCTTCCAGCTGCTCCACCACCAAGTCTCACTCCTGCTGTTGCATCCTGATAAAGTCCCCTCCTAATATACACTTGTACCTGCAGGAAAGTCTGTGATAAGTCTGACCTACAGGTACGGTGAATATCCTCTACACTTGCACCGTTTAGCAGGTATTCACTGCGGCTGCAGCCGGTGACGTCATGGCGCTCTGCGTTCAGTGTGAGCCGTCAGTGCAGAGCGCGCCGCGATCATGACTCCCATGTGCAGAGAATGATGTCATCACAGCACGGCCATTTCATTTTTTTGACCAGAGTTCTTCTTTAATCCTCCGGAGGATTCCCCCTTCCTGACTAGGCCATTTTTTGTGATACGTTAACTGCCAATTGTGCGGTCGTGCAACGCTGCACCCAAATGACATTTGCGCCCTTCCCCCCCCCCCCCCCCCACAAATAGAGCTTACTTTCGGTGGTATTTGATCACCTGTGTGGATTTTTATTTTTTACGCTCTAAAGCTTAGACCTTGTCTTCTCTCCCCACTGTACTCCCTATAACCTCTCAAACACCCCCTTTCCCCTCTCTGATCACAATCTCATCACCTTCACAGTCTCCTCGTCCTCCAATACCTATCCCACCAAACAGCAGACGATTACCAGCAGAAATCTCCGAAACCTAAACCCGGCTCCCTTCCACTGACCAACTCTATGACAGCATCAACCCCCTGTCCTGCGCTCACCTGGCCACGGCTGTCTACAACAACTCGCTTTCATCCACTCTACTGTAGACTCACTTGCTCCCCTAACAACACGAAGCATCAGGCCGCGACCTCTACAACCGTGGCAGACTGACCACACCCGAAATCTCAAACGATGCCGTGCGCTGGAGCGATTATGGCGTAAAACCAAATCCCACCAAGCATTCACCCGATATAAATCTGCCTTCTAACATACACTTCCTCCCTTCACGCTGCCAAACAAGCCTACTTTGTCACTCTCATTAATACCTTCTCTTCATGTCCTCGTTGGCTCTTCTCTACCTTTAACTCTCTTTTTTTCTCCGCCCCCACCACCACCCAGCGCCTCACTCACTGCCCACGAGATTGCACACCACTTCCAAAACAAGATTGATGCAATTCGTAGGGATTTACACAGTACTTAGCATTCCTCATACCATACCTCCCTCAACACTTTCCTCCTTTGACCTCGCTACCACCGAAAAGGTCCTTAAGGTCTTCTACACAGACACCCACCCCACTTAGCATTCCTCACTTACCATACCCCTCCCTCAACACTCCCTTCCTCCTTTGACTACAATCGCTACCACCGACTGACAAGGTCCTTAAGTCTGGTCTTCTCAGAAGCCTGCCTCACCACCTGTCCCCTCACAACTCCTTCTTTTGGTCACTCTCTCCTGGTTCCCTCTATCTTTCCGCTCCTTCAGTGTTCCTAATGCTCTCTCACTCACATCTTCTAACCTCTCCATTCCCTCTCTACAGGTGCCTTCCCCTCCCCTCTAAAGAATGCTCACATCACTCCCATACTTAAAAAGCCCTCCCTGGACCCCCCCCACCAACCTGAACAACTTAAGACTCCCATCTGTCCTGCCCCTGCCATTTACCTCTAAACTCCTAGAAAACGCTTAGTCTACAATCGTCTGAGCGACCTACCTCACTGACAACAACCTTCTCGACCCTTTACAGTCTGGCTTTCACCCTCTACACTCCACCGAAACTGCCCTACTAAAACTCACTAATGATCTACTAACTGCTAAAACCAACAGCCACTATTCAATACTCCTACTACTCGACCTCTCTGCGGCTTTTGACATGGTTGACCACCCCCTCCTGCTCACCCCTCTCTGCCAAAAAAAATTGATCTTATCTCTAAATATTTTGAGAAAAAAAACAATGCTCGTCTATTTTTGACTTTTTGCTCTAAAATATATCCAGTAAAAAAATCCCACCCGTAAAAACTCTTCAAATTTCGGCATTCACCCCTCCCTCCTAGATTTAGACCTTCTTGTAAAATGTATTCTGCTCCTATAATGTAAAGTGCTGTGCAAACCTTTGCTAAAAAAAAAAATCCCAATATGACTTTTTGCTCTAAATCCAGTAAAAAAATTGTAAAAATCAAATTTTATAGCGTATTCTTTACTAAAAAAAAAAAATGGCGGTTTTAGTTTACTGGCGGGATACTTTTTTTTTTTTTTACTAGTAATGGCGGCGAACAGTGACTTATAGCAGGACTGCGGCAGGCATTCTGACACTGGGGGGGAACTGACTTGGTGTCACTGACATCCCTAGTGAGTGACACCAATACAGAGATAAGTGGTTTCTTTTGGTGGTATTTGATCACCACTGTTTTTTTTTTTTGCGATATAAACGAAAAAAAAGACCAGAAATTAAAAAAAAAAAAGCCCTATTTTCTCCTATAAAACATATCCAATAGAAAAATGTAAAAAATCAGATTTGTTCATAAATTTTGGCTATTATGTGTTCTACATGTCTTTGATTAAAAAAAAAAAAAATTGTAAATAATATTTTTTTTTATACAGTACTAGCGGGACTGTAATAGCGTGGTGGGCAATCTGACACTTTTGCGAACTAACTGGTGACACTAATACAGTGATCAGTGCTAATAACATTGTACTAATGACACTGTCTGGGAAGGGGTTAACATCTAGGGGTGGTCCAAGGGTGAACTGTGGGCCTTAGGCTGCTTTCACACTGATTTGCTTTTCTTCTGCTTTTACAATAACAAAAAGTGGCAGAAAAATGTGTCGCAATGTGTTATTATGGAACTCTTCAAACTGATCCGTTCCAGGTCCGATGTGTTTTTCAAAGTCCTGCTCGCTGCATATTTGGTGCAGGTTTGTTACATTGTAAATATGCACCAAAAACGCACCTCCCGAAAAAATCCATGGACTACGCGACAAAAAATGCATTGAAAACGCACCTGCTGTGCATTTATTGGTGCGTTTTTTGAGTCAAACATGCGATAAAAATGCATATGCGCTTTTGCCGCCTATAAGTATGAAAGTAGCCTAACAGTGCTTGGTTTGTGTACTTTGTGGTTCGAAGGGATTTGCCAGTTTTTATTCCCTGCTTTGCAAAACGGCACATCCCCGCTGACAGGACAAAGCTCTGTGTTGTTTACATTCAGAGCATTGTCTTGTTATCCGCTTCATTGGTTCATTGGTTAGTGGGTCCCAGCTGGCAATCATTAGCCAAACCCGCTGATTGGCTTGTACTTTAAACCCTTGGCGCCGGAGACTCCTGGCCCTTTAAAGGTTTCAGAAGCCAGGGGTGGGGTTTTAGGGTCATGTGACCGTCGTGATTCGCCGGTGGTCACATGATCGGGAAAGGTCCCGATTCAAAGAGATCGGGACCTTTCCGTGAGTACTGGACATGTGTGCTGGGAGCGCGCTCTCAGCACATATGTTTTTCTTAATTGCACGCAAATGTGCGGCTGCTCGGCGTCAAGGCCCAGACGCCGGGAGGCCGCACATTTGCGTGTGGCCGACGCCAAGAGGTTAACTAATGCGCAGCCAGGGCGTCAGATGCGCGTGTGCACCCCATACCCAGAAGAGTCGGATCACGTATTAGATCATTGATCCAACGCAGGGATGCCGCTTTTGCCGCTGTACATCTAAGTGATGTGGTCAGCAAGCGGTTAAAGAAATAGAAAAATCTGCAGGAGAGCTTGTCCTGTTAAAAAAAAAAAAAAAAAAACAACAGACTTACTGGCCAGATCAACAGGTGAAAATAGAAGGAGATTCTAAAAAAGAAAACTAATGCAGCCACAGGGTGGATTTAATTTAAATCAAACTGATTTAAATCATGATTTAAATCACGATTTAAATCACTAGTCAGTAAGGCTTGATGTAAATCCTAGTTTTCTACATAAAGACTAATTCTTGCTGGTATAACTTTAATATACAAGTAGATGAAGATTTTTAGAATAACTTTTCATATTAGTTTTTTTATCCCCAGTTTAATAGGTTAATCATTCATATTTGGACAACTTTTCTGTTGTACTTAGGAAGGAGAAAAATAATCATTACCTTAATAATAACAATTTAAATAGATTTATTCAACTGAAACAATAACATTCCTCATATGTGATTGGCTTAAACATCCATGTTTGGTAACTAATTTGGCTAAACAAAATCTATATATTTGAAGAAACTTAGACTGTCAGCCCCTTCCTCCTCCTCACACTTAGTTTCACTTTCTTCTTGTGCAGATCTATTCCACTCCAAACAATCAGAAAAATATTGTTTCTATTCTATTCACTGAACTTCTTGAAACTTAGCACTGAAGGGGTTGATTCTGTATTCATAGGTTTGTAGAAGTTAGGATGAAGGTCTTTTTTTTAACTCTGTTCATGTTATAACATTTTTGCTGTGAAGAAGAGGCATGTGATCTCCGCTGAGTCCAATTCAGTTTTGAGAACTGCAAAAGTAAACCAACATCTGTGATAATATCTTGTAGGCAGAGAAACTGCCCAATAATCTTACAAAAACCTCTGGAAGAGCATGACATTGTGAATGGATTCATGGAATTTATTTACCAAAAAAATTAAACCTATACAGCCTTATGCTACATAATTAAAAAACTAATCTTTATTTCATGATGGAATAACCTTTGGATGGTAATATATTTTCCTCAAAAAGCATTTTATTCGATTTAAATAAAAAAAATCCGATTTAAATAAAAAAAATCATTGATTGTTATCCACCCTGTGCAGCCATCACATCAAAGAATTAACGAGCTGCAAAATATTTAAATGTTTGATTTTGGGTTTAATGGAGTGAAGGAAAGCCCAATCCGCAATCTCTATTCCTCCAGGAGTGCCGTATATTCCTCCGGGATGTATTTATATAACTGTAGTACACTGTGTGTATGTCGTGTGTACTATGTATAAAATCCGTATAATTATTCCTATTCTATATCCTTTATTGTAGATGGATGACCTAGCCCTGAACCTCGGGACCTGGACCTCACCTCCGATGACATTACTTTGGACACAGTCAGCAGTAAATATTTGAGATCTCAGGCCACGCTCTCACTGTCTGTCCCTACTTCTGTCTGTCCCTTGTCATGTATTTGTGAAAGAATGGGGATAAGAAGGAGGCAGGCACAGAAACGAGGACCATACACACAACTAGTGTTCACTGTATCCAGGTCCATTTCCTAACCCTGGGTACCCGAGATCAGACAGGGGTCACGCCTCTGTTTTTTTTTTGGGTTTTTTTTTTGCAGACTAGTGCCGGCCATAGATGGGTCGAAAATTGGCCGATTTTTTCGGCAGAAAAAAAATCGGCTGATTTTTGCACTGTTAGTAGGTTAATTGGTCGGTCATTTTTTGGGGTTTTTGCACATTTTTTTATCGGGTGGGTAATTCACGGCCGATTTTGACGATCAGCCGATTTTTCCCAACAATGATGGGCAAATCGGCCAATTGTTTTACTGATAAAAAAAATGCGCATGAGCCGTGACCTGCAAGAAGAAGAAAAAAAGAAGAATAAAAAGAAGAAGAATAAGAATTCCAGTCCGCTATTATATTTTATATGAAAAGTCTTGCAGTTGCAACAATGTATCCATTTGTATCCAAATAAAAACATCTGTATCCAAAATGGATACAAATTATTATTATTATTATTATTATTATTATACAGTATGTATAAAGCGCCAATAGTTCGCTCAGCGCTGTACATTACAAAGGGGGACAGAACATGTGACAGAACAATACCAATACAATGCAAAACATGAGGGGATTGAGGGCCCTGCTCTTTCGAGCTTACAATCTAGGAGGGAGGGGATGGTGGCACAGGAGGAGATAGCTGTGGGGGGGATGGAGTGGTAGGAAGAGTGAAGGAGGTCGGCAGGTTAGCAGGGGGTGGGGTAGGCTTCCCTGAAGAGATGGGTTTTCAGGGTGCGCCTAAAGGAGAGGAGAGTAGGTGATAATCTGATGGGTTGGGGCAGGGAGTTCCAGAGGATGGGTGACACCCTGGAGAAGTCCTGGAGGCGGGCATGGGAGGAGGAGACCAGGGAACTAGAGAGAAGGAGGTCTTGTGAGGAGCGGAGAGTGCGTGTTGGGTGGTACTTGGATATTAGGTCAGTGATGTAGTTCGGGGCAGTATGGTGGACAGCTTTGTACGTCAGTGTTAGGATTTTGAATTTGATCCGTTGCGCAATCGGAAGCCAGTGGAGGGATTGGCAGAGGGGGGTGGCGGAGTTGGAGCGGTTGGAAAGGTGAATGCGGTTGCAACAAATGGATACATTGTTGCAACCGCAAGACTTTTCATATAAAATATAATAGCGCACTGGAATTCTTAGGGACAGAAGTAATTATGGGGTTAAATGCTGGCCATAGACGTGACGAAAATTGGCCGATGGTAACGTCGGCCGATCGAACGACCGATTTTTGCATTTTGTTTTTTAAAAATGGCTGGTTTTCGACCCGTCTATGGCCTGCTTAGGTTTCATTAATTAAAAAGCAAGTCAGACATATACAAATACATGTCAACAATCCAATGACCATTACGAGAAAGGTGTAGGGATATTGCTGATAGAATAACGCAGTCCTCAGCGGCTTTCATTACAGATCCTTAAACAAAAGATAGGTGGAGGGCTCTGTCATAAACATAATACAAACAAGGAAGAATAAAGAAGGCACCATCCCACGAAAGAGGAAATAAGTACAGAGTAACAGTCTGGTCACATCAAACACGACTTTGAAATCGTGTGACTTACAGTGAAGTCGCACGATTTCAAAGTCGGGGGGACCCGTCGATTTCAGGTGCGATTTACAACACATCTGACACAGATGTCTATGCACCAAAAGTAGTGCATGTACTACTTTAGAAATCGGTGCGACTCCGACTAAGTCAGACCCGGATCGATATGGCCGCTCTTATTGCGGACAATAGAGTGCGACTTGGCATGCGATGTGCCAAGTCACATGGAATGAAAATCGCATGCCAATTTGTATCCATTTGTATGACCGGGGACTAAATGAGCTTCATGGATAAACTCACCACCACCCAGAAGAAATAAAGGGGAGGGGGGGAAGAAGAAAAGCCATGGAGAAATGGGGATTTTTTTAGGTGCAATCAAAGCTCAAATCAAAAAATTACTAATTTAAAATTACTTTTTATTTTATACAAATTTAAAAAAAAGAAAGATTGGAATTCTGAGAACATGTTATACAAGCTGTGGATTAGACAGTAACTATATTCGCTTGATTGAAAGGATGAAAGAATCGAAGTGCAAAAACACTATATTGCCAAAAGTATTGGTCGGCCGGCCTTTCCACACACATGAACTTTAATGGCCCCCCAGTCTTAGTCCGTAGGGTTCAATATTGAGTTGGCCCCGCCCTTTGCAGCTATAACAGCTTCAACTCTTCTGGGAAGGCCGTCCACAAGGTTTAGGAGGGTGTCTATGGGAAGGTTGGACCATTCGTCCAGAAGCACATTTGTCAGGTCAGAAACTGATGTGGGGGAGGAGGCCTGGCTCACAGTCTCCGCTCTAATTCATCCCAAAGGTGATCTGTGGGGTTGAGGTCAGGACTCTGTGCAGGCCAGTCAAGTTCCTCCACCCCAAACTGGCTCCTCCATGTCTTTATGGACCTTGCTTTGTGCACTGGTGTGCAGTCATGTTGGAACAGGAAGGGGCCATCCCCAAACTGTTCCCACAAAGTTGGGTCCAAAATGTCTTGTTATGCTGACGCCTTAAGAGTTCCCTTCACTGGAACTAGGGGGCCAAGCCCAACCCCTGAAAAACAACCCCACACCATAATCCCCCCTCCACCAAACTTTACACTTGGCACAATGCAGTCAGGCAAGTACCGTTCTCCTGGCAACCGCCAAACCCAGACACGTCCATTAGATTGCCAGACAGAGAGGCGTGGTTGGTCGCTCCAGAGAACACGTCTCCATTGCTTTAGAGTCCTAGAGTCCAGTGGTGGCATGCTTTACACCACGGCATCCGACGCTTTGCATTGCACTTGGTATGTAAGGCTTGGATGCAGCTGCTCGGCCATGGAAACCCATTCCATGAAGCTCTCTACACACTGTTGTTGTGCTAATCTGAAGGCCACACCAAGTTTGGAGGTCTTTAGCTATTGACTCTGCAGACAGTTGGTGACTTCTGCGCACTGTGCGCTTCAGCATGCGCTGACCCCGCTCTGTCATGTGACGTGGCCTACCACTTGGTGGCTGAGTTGCTGTTGTTCCCAGTTGCTTCCACTTTGTTATAATCCCACTAACAGTTGAGCGTGGAATATTTAGTAGCCAGGAAATGTCACGGATGGACTTATTGCCAGGTGACCACCTATCACGGGACCACGCTTGGAGTCACTGAGCTCCTGAGAGCGACCCATTCTTTCACCAATGTTTGTAGAAGCAGTCTGCATGCCTAGGTGATGATTTTATACACCTGTGGCCATGGAGGGGATTGGAACACCTGAATCACATGATTTGGAGGGCTGGCCCAATACTTTTGGTAATATAGATCGACGCATTTTGCCCCTAAAAAAGGGCTTCTTCAGAATCCACTTTCTTATTACAGCATTACAGTGTTTTACAAACAGTCCAATCAAGTACAATTGTCTTATGAGCATAATAAAGTAGAAGATGAAGAGGATTTCCAAATCCTCAACGATTCCTAATAGACACCATTTAGGACAACAAATACTGGGAAGTCACTTCTCTGTCTACCCGATTCTAGTAAATAGGCAAAAATGTCAGAATTGGCATTTCCAGTGAATAGAAAGTGTCAGTCTCCAGCAGAGCTCCAGCCTTCCCCTCAGTCTTGCATCGTTGTACCGGCTCCTCTGCTGGACTGAAATGGATTCCTCTGATTTCACCACACAATGTAAGCTTCTCACAGTGTGCATTAGAAGCTGCAGCAAGTCAGACAGAGCCTGCCACATGTGTCTTTCATCCTCAGCCTGGCCTACCCCATTCATTCATTGCATTTCAGTTCCGTCCATTGTGGAAGCTCAACACCATGTGATCATTACCTAGGTTAGTCTTTATGCAAATGAAGCCGGTCTGGAAACTCCCACTTCTACAAACTGACTTCCACCCATTTTGATATTTACATAAGCAGTTCACTGCTTGCATCAGGATTGAGGGCTCTTAAGAAGAGTACTGAGGCAGGGTGCAGTGATGTCTCCCAAAGCTATGTATGGCACCCAGCCAGCCCCTCCCACTAGCCATGATCTCTCTGCATTGCATAGAGAAGCACAGAAACCCAGTGATGATGTCACTGCATCTAAAATAAGAGATGGAATTAATGAATTAGCATGTTGATGGGGAGGGAAGGAATCACATAAGGAAAAATATAGGCAGACTAAACTTCAGCTTTAAACCGGCCCATTGTACTTCCTGTCACTCTTTCCATTTGTTCTTCCATTGTCTCATCTCTCCACTTTCTGTCTGTCCTGCTCTTATTGCCCTCTGACTTTGTCTCTTTCTCTCTTCAGTTCACATTCAGGAGAATCTGGAAGATGCTCTTGTCCAGGAAGCTTTGAAGACGGTGAGTGTGTATCAGAAAGGAACAGGCATGCTGAAAAAAAACTAAGCGGGATAATGCTGTGCAATCAAAGATATAATAAGCCATTATTACAACCAAACCTATTTTAGTACATACATATAAAGGTGCAGCGCTAAAATAACATAAATAAAAAACTGCATATTATAGCATAAAATAAAGTGCAAAATATCAGATCACACTGAGGCGAACTTGAGTGAATAAAAAGTCCCAAGATAAATGAGGACCCAACGTGGGGATCCGGTAGATCCTAATGAGTGCGTGGGGCAGGGTTCCAGTGTACCACACGGTGAATCTAGGGTAAAAAATGCGCACTCACCAGAAGTGCGTCAAAAATATGAATGTGAAATTATCCTGTTACATCAGGTAGCGGTCATCTACTGCCAAGGTAAGGTCAGGGTCATACACCTTCCAATCGCAACTCAGGGTAGGTACTCCAAGAGTCTCAAACGTGTCACCATCTGGGGTCCCTTTTGAACAGGTTCTGCAAGTGGGGACTCTCATTGAAGAGAGCCCAATAAGGGACACCACATAGTGTGATACCGTATACACTGAGTTTATTATATCAGAAGGTAACACAACAATGAATGGTAGGGATAAAATGAAGGTAAACACTGACCAGATACTGTTCACGATGGCCAAAAGCGGTGGTCAGACGTCCGGATACTTTAGCCCCCCGACGCGTTTCGTGCGATGCACATTATCAAAGGGTGCTGGGCTTACAGAAAAGCCCTGTCCTGTAAGCCCAGCACCCTTTGATAATGTGCATCGCACAAAACGCGTCAGTGGGGCTAAAGTATCCGGACGTCTGACCACCGCTGGTGGCCATCCTGAACAGTATCTGGTCAGTGTTTACCTTCATTTTATCCCTACCATTCATTGTTGTGTTACCTTCTGATATAATAAACTCAGTGTATACGGTATCACACTATGTGGTGTCCCTTATTGGGCTCTCTTCAATGAGAGTCCAAACTTGCAGAACCTGTTCAAAAGGGACCTCAGATGGTGACACGTTTGAGACTCTTGGAGTACCTACCCTGAGTTGCGATTGGAAGGTGTATGACCCTGACCTTACCTTGGCAGTAGATGACCGCTACCTGATATAACAGGATAATTTCACATGCGTATTTTTGACGCACTTCTGGTGAGTGCGCATTTTTTACCCTAGATTCACCGTGTGGTACACTGGAACCGGCCCCACGCACTCATTAGGATCTACTGGATCCCCACATTGGGCCCTCATTTATCTTGGGACTTTTTATTCACTCAAGTTCACCTCAGTGTGATCTGATATTTTTCACTTTATTTTATGCTATAATATGCTGTTTTTATTTGTTATTTTAGCGCTGCACCTTTATATGTATGTACTCTGTTGGAAGGTTCATTCTTGGTTACCTTTTTGCTGTTCTAGCTGCTATCTGTTATAGAGTTTTGGATAGCGCTCACATATTACCTCTTTATCAAACCTATTTTAGTGTAGAGGGGACAGCATTGAACACCAGTGCCCGGTGTCACACGGTATGAAGTGAGAGGAATGTCATTAATGGTGAGGCAGAGAGCAATAAAAATCTTACAGAGGATCTTACTCCACAATACGAAAACCTTGAGGGACACCGCTTGATAATAAGCAACCAAAATAACCCTTTTTTTCTCTCAAAATCCACAGAATGCTCTGACTTGAAGTGGTTGTAAACCTCAGATATGAAATAACAAAGCATATCCCTCTATAGTGTGCACCTGCCTCAATCCAGGGCACTAAGGGGGAGATTTACTAAAACTCTGGCTCTCAGAATCCGGTGCAGCTGTGCATGGGAGCCAATCAGCTTCTAACTTCAGCTTGTTCAGTTAAGCTTTGACAATAAAACCTGGAAGCTGGTTAGTTTCTATGTAGAGTTGCAGCAGATTTTGCGCGCTCTAGTTTTAGTAAATAACCCCCTAAGTGTAATTTCTGTCTGCTGCCTCCTTCCACTGCTATCTGCATTAATCACTTCTGATACGTTTCCCTGACACTAAGAGAAAAATGGAGAAGGGGAGGAGCCTCCAGCAGATTGACAGTTTGAGTTCATTTCCTGTATGCTGTGTGAAGGAAGGTGTATCCTCTCCAATTATCTCTCAGAACTCTCCTCACTGAGCTCTGCAGAGTGTAATTTGAGCTCTCCGCTCCCTTTTTTTCTGACAGCTCAGACAAGCTTTATATATTCAGCACTTTGAATGGCTGTAGAGACGAGAAGACTGCAGATAAACAGGTCCAACTTATGTCGGAGGATTTGTTTCATTTCTTTGTATCACCTGAGGCCAGTCACTTCACTTTGAATATGTAGGGGGTTTACAACTACTTTAAGTGCTGGTTGGTGGAGCACGTGTGTAAGAAGGTCTTAGACCTGCCCTTCGTGGGAGATCATCGTTTTGGCTCTTCGCTGGATAAAACCATAATAATGCAAGGAGGGGATAAGAGTACTCCAAGGCATGCAAAGCTAAGGGTTGACAACAAAGGTCAACACCTTCATATCTTGCATCAAAATGTTCCTTTTAGACCCCTTTACCAAAATCTAGTACATTATATGTGTCTGTGTTTTGGGGGGGATGGGCAACTTTCATGCCTGAACTACCCCTAAACCAGAGCATTTCTGTGGATTTGGGTGGAAGAAAGGGTTACTTTGGTTGCTTATTATCAAGTTGCGTCCCCAATGGACTCCAAAAAAACACTAAAGATTCTTTTTATATATATATATATATATATATATATATATATATCTATCTATCTATCAAACACGTTATTCTTACCTGCTCTGTGCAGTGGTTTTGCACAGAGCAGCCCCCATCCTTCTCTTTTTGGATCCCTGCCAGTGCTCCTGACTCCTCCCCCTTGAGCAGTGAACCTCAGGGAAATCTGCTTGCCCAGGGGGCACCGCTGTGTGCTTGCCCCCCTAGCTGCTGCTCAGTGCGTCCATAAGACACATAAGCCATGGCTTGGCCACCACCCCCCACCCCTGCTCTCTCCTCATTGCCTCACTGGCTGTGATTGACAGCAGTGGGAGCCAATGGGCTCCCGCTGCTGTCTCAGCTAATGAGGAGGAAGAGTCCCCAGACAGCAGAGGCTGTTGTGAATGTCTCTGGATCAGAGGGGTCTCAGGTAAGGATTGGGGTGGAGGGGGGCTGCTGCACACAGGTTTTTTACCTTCACGCATAGAATACATGAAGTCATTATTATACAGGATTTATATAGCTCCAACAGTTTGCGCAGCGCTTTAGAAAATGAAGGGAGACATAACAGTTACAATACAGTTTGGTATTGGATGATTTTGTAAGTTGTTGTTAGTATCTGAATTTTATTCGTTGAGCGAGTGGAAGCCAGTGGAGGTATTGGCAGAGAGGGGTAGCAGACACACTGATTGGAGGCCAGTGGAGGGATTGGCAGAGAGGGGTAGAAGACACTGATTGGAGGCCAGTGGAGGGATTGGCAGAGAGGGGTAGAAGACACTGATTGGAGGCCAGTGGAGGGATTGGCAGAGAGGGGTAGCAGACACTGAACAGTTGATAAGGTGGATAAACCTGGCGGCAGTATTCATGATGGACTGGAGGGGGGATAATCTATTGTAAAGGTAAGCCAATGAGGAGGGAGTTGCAGTAGTCGAGGTGAGAAATAACCAGGAAGTGAATTAGGAGCTTTGTTGGTATCATTGGTTAAAAAGGGCCTATTCTGGAGATGTTGCGGAGGTTGAGGCGGCATGATTTGGACAAGGATTGGATGTGGGCCTGAAAGGATAGTTCAGAATCCAGGGTTCCCCCTAGCACTCTGGCATTCAGAAATGGGTTGATAGTGGTGCTATTGATCCTGACCGAGAAATCAGGGGAGAGGCAGTGGGGGAGGAAATATTATGAGCTCAGTTTTGGATAGAGATTGAGTTTTAGGAAGGGTGTGACATCCAGTCTGATATGTCTGTTAGTAAATAGGTGAAATGTGAGGAAACTGATGGGTGAGCTGAGGAGTAGAGAGATTGATTTGTGTGTCATCAGCATAGAAATGGTATTGGAAACTATGGGAAGCTATCAGCTGACCCAAGGAAGAAGTGTAGATCGAGAACAGGAGAGGTCCAAGGACACAACCTTGGGGGACCCCGACAGTAAGAGGAGTAGGAGAGGAGGAAGTAGAGTTGTAAGTGACACTGAAGGTGCGGTGAGATAGGTAAGATTCAAACCATTGGAAAGTACAGTCACGGAGACCAAGTAAATAGTCTTTTGAGGAAAAGGGGGTGGTCAACTGTGTCAAAGGCAGCAGAGAGGTCCAAGAGCAAGAGTATGGAATAGTGACCATTGGTTTTAGCGGTTAGTAAGTCGTTTGTGAGTTTTAGGAGAGCAGTCTCTGTGGAGTGTTGTGGGCAAAATCCAGACTGAACGGGATCGAGAAGGTTATTCTCCATGAGGTGGCAGCTCAGCCAATTGTAGACTAGACCTTCAAGGAGTTTGGAGGCAAAAGGGAGTAAGGAGATGGGTCTTAGATTGCTAAGATTGATGGGGTCCAGTGAGGCCTTTTTAAGTATGGGGGTGACTAGCGCATGTTTTAGAGAGTTGGGGAAGATGCCAGTAGAAAGGGAGAGATTGAAGATACCAGTTAAAGAGTGAAGGATAGAGCCAGAGGGTGACCGTAGTATTTGCGAGGGAACAGGGTCCAGGGGGCAGGTGGTTAGGTGGGCTTTAGAAAACCATTTACCAACCTCCTCTATAGTAGCTGGGTTAAACAAGGGAAGTATAGATTGTGCAGGTGGACAAGGAGTGTAGGGTGAGGGAGATATCTGTACAGTGGAGATCTCATCACGAATTGTATCAATCTTATTTTTTAAGTGATTAGCGATCTCCTGGGCAGTGAGTGAGTTAGTGGAGGTAAAGAAGGACGAAGTAGAGAGTTAAAGGTAGAATAGAGTTGACGGGGATTGCGTGAGAGGGTGTTAATGAGAGCGATAAAATAGGTCTAATCAAAAAGAAAAGAAAGTGAGCGCTATATTGTAGAGCAGCTGGGACACCAAAAAGGTACCAATACAACCTCTCAAGATCCAAGTAAAAATAAAGGTGCAGCACTTATATGATCAGAAATATGAATCATGCAATCAAATCGTCTGATGGAAATTAATATAAGTCAAATAACCAATCACTCATTGAAGTGAAAAATCATGCATAGGGTGCAAAAACCAAAGTCCACATAAACAGTTGGGCGTGAAGTCTAGTAGTGAGAATATCAAATACAGGAGTGATTTCTTCCCAAAACTTCTGGTGATCAAATAATAAATTGCGCACTCACCAGATGCACAAAGTTATTGCGCATTTGAGAAAACAATATCTCAGAAGGTCAGCTGAAGCGTCTTAAAGGGGCCTCTACCGCCTGGTATGGATTCCTCCCTAGATAGCTCGTGGGTGACAGCAGCTTCTCTCTCCTTTGCAAAGAACTCTGTGGATGGTTGGACTCATAAAGAGTCCAAAGAAGGAGGAGGCCACACAGCGTGATACTGCTTCAAATTTTTAATAATCCAGTCACAGGTACAAATGTAAGGCAAATAAAATCAAAAAGACACTGACCATGTGTATAGGCAAGATGGCTGCCGGACCACCACAGGGCCTCGGCAGCGTCACGTCACAGCGTTGTAGCCCCCTCTGACGCGTTTCGTGCTAACGCACATACTCATAGGGGGTACGCTATAAGATCATATAAGCGCTGCACCTTTATTTATACTTGGATAAAATAGGTCTGTTTGGCAGTGTTGAGACACGAATTGTATTTTTGAAGGGCAGATTTATATTGGTTGAAATCCTGGAGCCTTTAGAACCACTTTAACAGCGAGTACAAAACTCATATTTTTCATTGCTGTCTACATTCCCACGGTAGAGATTACCTCTCACTTCCTGTTTTGATTACCACTGTTACTGAGACAAGAAATAAGAATTTATGTTCCCCAATAGGGACGAAGCCAGAATTTAATATCTGTCACTGTATCTAAAGCATGTTTTCCCTGGAGTTCCACTTTACATAGTTGTCATAAAATGACATCTTTCTTTTTTTATTATTTTTGGCAGGGTGTTGATCTCAGACAATACTCCAAACAAGTTGAGATGGAGCTGCAGCAGATTGAGCATGTGTCAATAAAAGACTGTATCCTTCCAGCACTGGTCAGGATTTTCCTCTTCCCCTTAAAGAATTCTGAATGAAAAAACATTCTTTTTGGACCTTTTAGATTTTATTTTGTTTAATTTCCACTGTTCATATTATAATGGGGGCAAGTGCTGGGTGCAGAGGAATCCCTGTGGGATTTAACAGGCTTATTTTTCTTCTGGTGATAGTTTCTTTAACTAATTGCCGACGCAGATAGCCGAATGACGGCTGCACTGCGGCTGGCCAGTTCGTCATATGACGTCCTCCCAGAACGCGCTCTCCTGTGCGCCCCCCCGGGGCACGCACCGGCGATCTCCTACGGACACAGCTGATCACGTGACGTGGTAAAAGGCCAATCACAGCGGCCTTTTACCACGTGATCAGCCGTGTCCAATGACACGCTGATCACCGGTAAAATGCAAATGCCGGTTCTCGGCTGCACTTTCCTCACGCTGTCAGATCGTGAGGAAAGTACTGCCGAAAACCGGCAGTTGTTAGAGGGGGATCGGCACTGATCATCAGGGTCACTGATCACCAGTGCCCTGATGATCGGTGCCCAGCAGTGCCACACACAAGTTCCGCCCACCTGTGCCCAGCAGTGCGCCCACCTATGTCACCCAGCAGTGTCACCACATGTGCCCAGAAGTGCCACCTACCTGTGCCCAGTAGTGCCACCCACCTGTGCCCACCAGTGCCGATCAGTGCAGCCCAGCAGTGCTACCAGTCAGTGTCCAGCGGTTGTGCCTGTCAGTGCCACCTATCAGTACCCATTATCAGTGTCGCCTATCAGTGCCGCATATCAGTGCCACCTATCCGTGCCACCTATCCGTGCCACCTCATTAGTGCTGCCTATCAGTGCCGCCTATCCGTGCCACCTCATTAGTGCCGCCTATCAGTGCCCTTCAGTGCTGCCTATCAGTACCCATTATCAGTGTCGCCTATCAGTGCCACCAATCAGTGCCGCATATCAATGCCACCTATCCGTGACACCTCATTAGTGCTGCCTATCAGTGCCGCCTATCCGTGCCACCTCATTAGTGCCGCCTATCAGTGCCGCCTATCAGTGCCCATCAGTGCTGCCTCATCAACGCACATCAGTGAAGGAGAAAAATTACCTGTTTGAAAAATTTTATAATAGAAACAAAAAACTTTTTTTTTTTTTTTTCAAATTTTTTTGCACTTTTTTTGCTTATAGCACAAAAAGTAAAGTGCCCAGCAGTGATTAAATACCACCAAAAAAAAAAGCTCTATTTGTGAGGAAAAAAATGATAAAAATTTCATATGGGTACAATCTTGCATGACCGCACAATTGTCAATCAAAGTGCGACAGTGCTGAAAGCTGAAAATTGGCCTGTTAAAATAAGGGGGTGTAAGTGCCTGGTAGGCAAGTGGTTAAACCTTTAACGTGTAACCCCTGTCTGGGGAGATTCAACCTCACCTGTGATCCCGGTGACCGTTGTACCAGCATAGAAAGTGATGGGAAATCCCAAAGATTTTGAGTCGTTACCAAAACAAGTGGCGAGGGGATGTCTTTTAATGGGGACACCTATTCCATTAAGGAGGGGAATTCCTCAAACTTCATGTTGCATCCCCAGAACAGGAAATGAAGGGAAGTGTTCCCAACTGGACAAAGACAGCAAAAAATACAGTGACGGGGGTTTTTAATGCTTCCTAACTGTATTCAAAATTTTAGAAAAAGCTTTGACCCTACATAGATTTTAAAGCCAGAGTCCAACTAGAACATTTTCTTTGTTTTAGGATATAGTGGGGAAGAGTTCTACATTTGTTATCACTCACTTCACCTAGGGATATCTTCCCTTCCTGTTCATGTGATAGGGGGGCAGGGTTTAACAAAAGTCATTTTAGCCTTTTTGTATTCTGCTAAAATAGTATTTTTGTTTGTATTTGTGTGCCCACTAGAAAGATTTCCCATCTCTCACTGAAAAGATTTTTCATCACTTGCTGTTCTAGTGATAGGGGGCCACAGACACAGGAAAGTATGGGAAAATCTACCCCAGTGGGGTCATGGACAGCTGTAAAAATCTGACATCTGTTCTGAAATTTCCCACTCTATCTACATCTAAATAATAAATAAAACCATAGTCTCCAATCTATGACCCAGGGGTCGGATGCGGCCCTTTGCTTGTTCTTATCCGGCCCTTGGGGCATTTATTCTCCCACTGATACAAAACACTATTCCTCTCACGGACACCAACAAAGGGGCATAATTCCTGATACTGACATCAACAACAGGCACTATTCTTCCCATTGACACCTACGATGGGGCACTATTCCTCCCATTGACACCTGTGATGGGGCACTATTCCTCCCATTGATACCTACGATTGGGCACTATTCCTCCCATTGACATCTACGACGGGGGCTCTATTCCTCCCATTGACACCTACGATTGGGCACTATTCCTCCCATTGACACCTAAGATGGGACACTATTCCTCCCATTGACGCTTACGATTGGATACTATTCCTCCCATTGATATCTAAGATGGGGCACTATTCCTCCCATTGACACCTACGATTGGGCACTATTCCTCCCATTGACACCTAAGATGGGACACTATTCCTCCCATTGACGCTTACGATTGGATAGTATTCCTCCCATTGACACCTAAGATTGGAGCACTATTCCTCCCATTGACGCTTACGATTGGACACTATTCCTCCCATTGACGCTTACGATTGGACACTATTCCTCCCATTGACGCTTACGATTGGACACTATTCCTCCCATTGACGCTTACGATTGGACACCATTCCTCCATCCCATTGACATCTACGATTGGGCACTATTCCTCCCATTGACACCTACGATTGGGCACTATTCCTCCCATTGACACCTACGATTGGACACTATTCCTCCCATTGATACCTACGATGGAGCACTATTCCTCCCATTGACACTTACGATGGAGCACTATTCCTCCCATTGACACCTACGTTGGGCACTATTCCTCCCATTGACACTTACGATTGGGCACTATTCCTCCCATTGACACCTACGATTGGGCACTATTCCTCCCACTGATATCTAAGATGGGGCACTATTACCTCCCATTGACACCTATGTTGGGGCACTATTCCTCCCATTGACACCTACGATGGGGCACTATTCCTCCCATTGATATCTAAGATGGGGCACTATTCCTTCCATTGACACCTACGTTGGGGCACTATTCCTCCCAATTCCACCAACAATTGGGTACTATTCCTGTCACTGAAACAAACCATGAGGCACTATTCCTCCCACTGATACTAACAATGGAGCACCATAAATGAAATAAAAGCTTGCCTAGAATTAGTGAAGGTTTTATGTTTTGTGATCCATAGTGAGTCATCTGACTCCTCTCAACATCTCCTGCACCCCCTACGGTTCTCTCCAGATATGGTTATAAGAGCAATAACTTTTCCAAAAATGACAGAGTTTCTAAATGTTGAATCTTGGTGCTGCCCCCTTACTCTGTTGCCCTAGGCTTTAGTGTATGGCCATAATTATGGTAAATGCTGCCCTGAAGTACATACTATGGCTGGCTCACCAGTAATCACTTGTTGAATTTGGCAAACCTGTGTTTTGTAGCAAAAAACTCCCCCTGCACATACCGGTTTTGTGTTCCACAATCAAAAACACACCCGTTTTTCATCCTCTGTAGTTGATTGCTCCAGAGATGTGCGTATTCCTCAATGCATTGCAGATATAGAACAGAGTCAGAACATCGCTTCTCTCCATAATCAAATTATCGCCTGTGACGCCATCCTAGAGGTAAGCTCGCCTCTCATACATTCTGTAGGCTTCACCCTCCCAGGTTCTGCACTCTCCTGCCTGGCAGAGGATGTGTGTGATACCTTTTGGCCTGACATGTAATCTGTGAGGGGAAAGAAATGGTCTGTGTTTCCTTTACCAGACCACCAGATTCCAGTGATCAGTTTTTATTATAGCACAGGTTTTCTTTGTCCCGGTGTCTGTGGATGTTGCTGTTTTTTGTTTTTGCAGAGAATGGGCCAGATGCTGGGTGGATTCCAGTCGGACCTGAGTTCTATTAGCTCAGAGATCCATTCGTTGCAGGAGTTGTCACTGGCCATGAACATCAAATTGAAAAACCGTCAGACTGTCAGGAGCGAGCTGAGCGAACTGGTGGATGAACTCATCATTCCCAACAACATGATAAAGTAAGAAAAGGAGATATGAGGGAAGAATCAGCAGAAGACAGTGTGTGTGTAGTCACGTCTTGCTGTGATGTTGTCTGTAGTGACAACATGAAACAGGTCCTTAGAAATATCAAGAAACAATACAACAGACCACAAAATGACTTCAAGTGGACCTTTCAGTAATTTTACGGTCTGCACGATCAAAGAATTATTCCAGACATTGACATGTTATACATAGTTACATTGGCCCAGCTTGGACCAATGTACAACGTAACTATGTATATGACATACCTGGGTGGTCCCCATGGAAGCTGGATTTGACTGAAGTAGACACTAATGGAAAGTACTGAAGCTACTCCAACTGGTTGTGGGTCCTTCACAGGAGGCTTCTTGGCACAAGTGCCATTCAAAGAATGCTTTGTATTTTCTGAATGAAAGCAAAGTGTTTTCTGCTTGTATGAAGTAGAGAAGCAGTTTTTTCTGCCTGGAGTTCAGCTTTAAAAATGCTTAAAGTGTTAGTAAATGCAGGACCCTGCATTCACTATATCCGGTCCCCCTGGACCCTGCATTCACTGTATTCGGTCCCCACAGACCCTGCATTCACTATATCCGGTCTATATCCGGTCTCCCCGGACCCTGCATTCACTATATCCGAAACCTGCATTCACTATATCCGGTCTCCTTGAACCCTGCATTCTCCCCGGACCCTGAACCCTGCATTCACTATCCCTGCTCCGGTCTGCCCGAACCCTGCATTCACTATATCCGGTCTCCTTGAACCCTGCATTCACTATATCCGGTCTCCTCGAACCCTGCATTCACTATATCTGGTCTCCTTGAACCCTGCATTCACTATATCCGGTCTCCTCGAACCCTGCATTCACTATATCTAGTCTCCCCGGACCCTACATTCACTATATCCGGTCTACCCGGACCCTGCATTCACTATATCCGGTCTCCCCGGACCCTGCATTCACTATATCCGGTCTCCCCGGACCCTGCATTCACTATATCCGGTCTCCCCGGACCCTACATTCACTATATCCGGTCTCCCCGGACCCTGCATTCACTATATCCGGTCTCCCCGGACCCTACCTTCACTATATCCGGTCTCCCCGGACCCTACCTTCACTATATCCGGTCTCCCCGGACCCTACCTTCACTATATCCGGTCTACCCCGGACCCTGCATTCACTATATCCGGTCTCCCCGGACCTCTGAATTCACTATATACGGTCTCCCCGGACCCTGCATTCACTATATCCGGTCTCCTTAGACCCTGCATTCGCTATATCTGGTCTCCCATAGTACACACAACACGGAAAGGCAATTATTTTAGTAAATATAACCTGCTAAATACCTTTTCTCATCAGCAGTATATAGCAGTCTTGTGGCTTCTATCTGTGTCCAGCCCAGCACTAGCTAAAGCTTGTAGGAGTTTTCTTTCTGCTCTAGGAGGATGCAGGACCCCTGACCTCTGTCTGACCAGTGCTGATTGCCCTGTGCTAATCACATGCACTCTCCCAAGAAAAAGAAAAAAAAACTTCTCTAGCAATACACACTATAGTGAGCATGTGGAAATGCTTGCGGTTCAGGTGGTCACTTGAAAAAGGGGAGGAACAGAGAAGAAAGGATCAAACGGCCATTTTACACAATTAGGAGTATATTAACCCCTTAGGTTCTACAGTGAGTATAACAAGCATGCATATACAGACTGATTTTACAGTTGTGGGGTTTAGTAACACTTTAATATCATTAAACCAACAAACAAACAAAAATGTCTTAATCATATTTGTACAAAAACATATAATAAATGAAAAATTGCAAAATTGAAAAAGTACATTGGTACACATATACCGAGTCTGAGACTCAGAGTGAAAGACAACCAAAAGATATGAAGCGATACAAAAAGACATACATCCATATCCAATGTAAAACGTCTAAAGAAGCACCAATTAAATACGTGATAATAGAAAACATCAAAAGCAACCGAAGTTGGTGAAAATAGAATAATAAGGCACCGCTAGTTAATAAAGAAAAGAAGAAAAAACCCAGCAAGTTGGGGAGAGATGATAATCTTTCAAGGAAAAGCAGCAAAAAGATTGTGTAGTGACTGTTGAACAAAAAAGTCTCTGACCTGTCCTTTGAAACTTTGTGCAGGCTTACTGTCTGCTTTTTCTGTTCTTTCTGGCTGTAGTGTTATTATTTATTTCAGGTACTTCTATAGAGCCATCAATTTATGCAGCGATTTACATATATATTGTACATTCACATCAGTATAAAAGCAAACGGGCGCACTCTCATCGTGCATTACCGTGGTACACCACGTGTTTATTGTGTAATCAAATAGATATATACTCACAAACCAAAGGAGAATAAAAAGCAGAATAAGTAGTCCGCAATGGCAGTCAATATAATGCTGTGCCCTAATTTGGGATAAGCTGACACATTTCGGGAGACAAACCCCCTTCTTCAGAGCTAAACAAGGAGAGTACAATCTAAGGTCCCTAACTCACATTCATACATACACATACTAGGGACAATTTAGATAGGAGCCAATTGCCTAACGGCATGTGTTTGGAGTGTGGGAGGAAACTGGAGTACCTGGAGGAAACCCACGCAGGCACAGGGAGAACATGCAGACTCCAGGCAGGTAGTGCCATGGTTGGGATTCAAATCAATGACCCAGGCGGAGTTGCTAACCACTTATGACTTGTCACCTGTTGGTCCCTCTTGTGTTACAGTGTCATCCTAGAGATTCCTGTCACCGATCAGCAGTTTGTGGAGCAATTACAAGAACTCAACAATAAGATCAATTATGTGAAGGAGCAAGCGTTCAGAGACACGCAGGCCTGTGCTGATGTCCAGGATACTCTGCATAAACTGAAGATTAAGGTTTGTAATAATCCACTCCTCCCCTGCCTGACAATAGTAAAAGAGGAAAGATTTCATACTTACTGGCATACTACAGAGTACACCCATGCAAGGGCCGTGTTTACTCACACGGGGATGTGTGGGTAGTCCATGCATCCCCATATAGGCAGTCCCATTTGTGTCAATTGGAATACAGCACTTGCGTGGATACAGTCGCTGCTCCCAATTTGACATCTGTGCGGGTGCAGAGCCTCAAATGCAGACATGGGGGATTATTTACTAAAACTGAAAAGCACAAAATCTGGTTCAGCTCTGCATAAAAGCCAATCGGCTTCCAGGTTTTATTGCCAAAACGTAACTGAACAAGCTGAAGTTAGAAGCTGATTGGCTACCTGCACCAGATTCTGATTGCTCCGGTATTAGTAAATCTCTTCTAATGTGCGTTCAGGGCCATGCACCCCCATCCACATGGATGTCAAATTGAGAGCAGTGGCTGTGTCCATGGGACTTCCTGCACATCGAATACCTGTGCATCCCTGTGTGGGTAAACATGGCTGTCACACAGATGTACTCTGTAGTATGCCCATGTGCACGAGGCATGCATGAGGGTGTAATAGGACCCATGTGAACAAGGCCTAAGGACCCATGTGAACGAGGCCTAAGGACCCATGTGAACGAGGCCTAAGAAGAAGACCCTGGGCCAGAAAACTTTACATACATACACAAATCCTGACATGAAGAATGAAAGGAGGAGATGGCATGTGTACCAATGAGTGGTGTCTGTAAAATTAGAGTTGGAGGTGCAATCACTCCAAGACATATTTTTCAATGAGGCTCCACGCACAAGGGGTGTTTTAAGGCTCCATGCACATGGGGTGTTTTGAGGCTGCATGCACACGGGGTGTTTTGAGGCTGCATGCACGCGGGGTGTTTTAAGGCTCCATGCACATGGGGTGTTTTGAGGCTCCCACACACACGGGGTGTTTTGAGGCTCCACGCACACGGGGTGTTTTGAGGCTCCACGCACACGTGGTGTTTTGAGGCTCCACGCACACGGGGTGTTTTGAGGCTCCACGCACACGGGGTGTTTTGAGGCTCCACGCACACGGGGTGTTTTGAGGCTCCACGCACACGGGGTGTTTTGAGGCTCCACGCACACGGGGTGTTTTGAGGCTCCACGCACACGGGGCGTTTTGAGGCTGCACGCACACGGGGCGTTTTGAGGCTGCACGCACACGGGGCGTTTTGAGGCTGCACGCACACGGGGCGTTTTGAGGCTCCATGTACACGGGGCGTTTTGAGGCTCCATGCACACGGGGCGTTTTGAGGCTCCATGCACACGGGGCGTTTTGAGGCTCCATGCACACGGGGCGTTTTGAGGCTCCACGCACACGGGGCGTTTTGAGGCTCCACGCACACGGGGCGTTTTGAGGCTCCATGCACACGGGGCGTTTTGAGGCTCCATGCACACGGGGCGTTTTGAGGCTCCATGCACACGGGGGTGTTTTGAGGCTCCATGCACACGGGGCGTTTTGAGGCTCCATGCACACGGGGTGTTTTGAGGCTCCACGCACACGGGTTGTTTTGATAACGCTGGTAACGTCCGCTGTGTAAAGCCACGTTACAAACGTGAGTTTTTCAGCTTTTTTTAGTGTTTTTGCATTAGTGTTTAGCGGCGTTTTCCCACGTTTTTCCATGTTTGTGTTTTTTAGCATTTTTGTTATTACAAAAATATAAAAAAAAACCTCCAAAAATGCCGGTTTGCAGCATTTTGCCGTATTTTTCAGCGTCAGAGCGTTTTTACAGCTAAAAAACATTAGAAACCCACTAGTCCTGGGTTTTTTTTTCCAGCCAAAAAACGTTTCCAGTCTATGTGTGTACGGACACATAGGATAACATGCTGGGGAGTTTACTGGCTGTAGAAAAAAAACGCCAAAAGCCAAAAACAGCCGCTGTAAAAATGTTTGTGTGCAGGAGGATTAAAGGGAAGGGGATATCAGGGTTGGTGTGTAGGTTGGCAGATAAAGGGGAAATGGGGCTGGAGAGAGAGAGCAGATTAAGGGTCATGGGCAGAGGTACAGTGGGGTGGGGAAGGACAGGTGTGTATCAGTATTGGGGATTGTGGTGAGGGGTGACCAGGGGGGCCATGGAAAAGTTTATGAAGGAAGGTATAGGCGTGGGAAGGGAGGGGGGGTGGATGCATGCAGCTGGATAATGCGGATACATTTCTTTTTATCTGGTATTATAAATCTCTTCCCTACGCATCTTCTATTTCAGGCTGTGGCTAAAGTTCGTGAGTTCATTCTACAGAAGATCTACTCTTTCCGCAAACCAATGACTAATTATCAGATTCCCCAGAATGCACTGCTCAAATATAGGTCAGTTTTGTTTCTTTAACGCCAACTTAAAGTTTAAGAGACCATGTTGCCAGACCATACATTTCCAAAGCAATTTTCCTGTAAGATTATATATGCATTTGATGTATTTTTATGATTATTTTGTTTTTTTCCTGTAAAAGCCTTCATTGTGTAGTCTTCCAAAAGCCATGACACTACTGCTTGATGCCGCCATCTTGGATGTGATATCAGCAGCCCCAGCAGACTCAGAGCTGTCACTTAAGTGACAGTCTATAGTTTATAGTCTATAGCACAGGCGTCAAACACAAGGCCCCTGGGCCGAATTTGGTCCTCCAGGCCATTTCATGTGGCCTTTGCACCTCTCCTGAAGGTACCCCCTTGTCTCCACACCCCACTTTGTCTCAGCAGTCGGCAGCATAGAGGAGAATAGAACTCCTCTGCCAAATCCTGCACCTCTCAGTGCAGCTAGGGCACCCCCTCATTTCTGCCTCCTCTGGTCTCCGCATTCAGCAGACTCTGGTAACTGACTCCACTCCTCTGGTCCTCCTCCAGACCCTGCACTTTCTGCTTTCCAGCTCTGCCCCCAAAGGAGGTGCACGGTGATGTTAGGGAGGGTGTGGGATTCTTGACATCCGATGTAATGGGGGGGGGGGGGGTGCTCTGGACATCTAGTCTTACAGATACAACCGGCCCTTTGAGGTCAATCATACTGCTGATACAGCCCGCGATGAAATAGAGTTTGACACCCCTAGTCTATAATAATATAGGTGCAGAGGTTCAAGGTCTACATCACATTACTGCAAGATAAAAGAGGCTAAAAAAGGTATTTGAACTTGGTGAAGGGATGTGATTTTTGTTCAGTTATTGTTGGAGTTATATGCAATAATTCATCCTAATGGGGTTAGATACACCTTGGCAGTTCTCTTGTGTATCTGCAGGTTCTTCTACCAGTTTCTGCTGGGTAATGAGAGGTCAGTGGCTCAGGAAATTCAGGACGAATATGTGGAGACCATGAGTAAAGTCTACCTGTCTTACTTCAAGTCCTACACTAGCCGGCTGATGAAAGTGCAGGTGAGAGTGAGGGGAATCATAGTACACGAAAGATTTTGTGATTTTTTTTTTTTTTTTTTATAGGAGGAATTTACCTTTTATTATGGGAATATCTGTCATGCGATTAATATGTTGACTGCCATTGCTGACCTGAAAATGCTGGATTCCTGGATCTCAGGCTGATCCATGGCCTCAGTATTTTGAGTTGCTGACTTTGAACAATTACACATACTGGCTGCACACTGCTCCCTGGTTGTTGACCCATGATATTGAAGCCAGCAGATCAACATCAACATAGCCAGGCAGTTAGATATTACAGAAGGCAGTTAGCAGTGGTAACATTCAAACATCTGTTTGTTTAGGTCCCCCTTTTAGGTAAAACTCTCGCCAAACCTTTTTTTTCCATTTTTAAGCCTGTCAGGTATTTAATGGGATTTGTAGTATAAGTAGAGTAGTGCGCAAGACTGCAATTAACTTGCACTGCTCATTCCTTAAAAACATCTGTGAGGGGAAAAAGAAGAGGTTTGGGAGCTCACGGAGGACATTGCAAAGAGCAAGAAAAACACAGTAAGGGCAAAGTCACATTGTAATGCAGAGCGGCAGGAGCAATTCACCATTCTGACCACTCTGCGTTGATTGCTGTGCCAGGGGCAATGTGGTGCTCTATTTAGCGCATCACATTATTATACAGGATTTATTATACAGGATCACATGGCTACCTGTTTATTTTTTTTTTTCTTCTATGAACTCTATTTGAAGTGTACAAAACATACACTTCATTCATTGCACTGCCTGACATTGCAGTGTGATTCAGCACGGTATGCTGAGATTTTGCTGCAGTGTAGCCCCAGGCTGCATTGCAGTGTGAATGGGACACATAGAAAGCAAATGTTTCCTGTGTGTCCCTCACAGCACATAGTGGGAATTGGCCCTGAGAAACAATTTAATAAAAGATAGATTTTAAGACCACTAAAGTGTCAATAAACCCACATCATTAAAAACTATCAGTACATGCTGTTCGTACTCATTTTGTATTCTGTAAAAAAAAAAAAAAAAAAACTCTGGTTGATCTTTCTGTTCTCAGCCTCCCCTTCCTGTTCATGTCTCCACTGCAGCTGAGGAATTTGCAGAGCAGTGTAGGCATCTAGTGCACCTTCTTAGTGTTTAGTGTATTTCTACCCTGAGAATTTCCTCCCTATCACATCTGAACAGCCCTTGTGGCTATAGAGTCACACATGTGGGCGTATACACAGTGGTAAATGACAGCACACTCTCTTCCTTCTCAATGCCCACTAACCAACTAAACACAACAACAGTGGGATATTATATCTTGACTGATGGAGGCTTCGCATTCTTGTTATTCTGAGACACAGGCCAGAGGGGCGTGACACAGCCTGATACTGGTAGAAAGCCGCTCACACCATACTATTGCCAAAAATAATAAAGATGTGATTTCAAACATATGTTTGTATGACGATTTAAAGCAGTTTATTGAAAATATTTGTTTATTTTTACCTTGTATAGAACAGGTTTTTTTTGTTTTGTTTTTTTTTAACGTGTGTGACCAATAGCAGAGGACTAAAAGCTCTTCCTGTCATGGTTTCCCTGCAGACAGGCTGGAAAAAGATCTGTGTCATGTGACAGCTGTATATTGATTAGGAAAAAATGTACTTAGATTTTTTTTTTTAATTAAAATAATTACAGTTCCATTATCCCCATACAGAAAGAGAAGGGGATAATGTGTGGTTAGCATCACTTTAAGTAGTTGATGTGTATAGATAATTATTGGAGAATAAGGATATGGTTTAGTGTCACTTTAAGGCCAGACACTATAAAAGAGATCCACTTTTAGCACCAGCGCACCTTGGAAACTAGGCAACTAGTATTTTCACAACACAAAAAAGGGTAATGAAGCTCAGCGTAAAACATGTTTAGCACCAAAGGGCTGATAGTGAAATACTGGAAACCTTTAGCTCATGATAGAAGAATGCATATAAAAATCATACAAAAAAAATATTTTAAAAAACTGCGCTATAGTATGGAATGAATCAAAGCAGCCAACTCAATATTGCAGGCAACATTACATGAAATATAAATGACATAAGAGTACGGCGCTCAAGATTTCTATAACATATGGAAATAAAAGTCCAATTAGTATATATAATAAGAGTGTAATAAGCCCCTCTTCATAGGGACATCTATAACGTCATATATGCTTCAGTCTGGTCAAGGAAATATAGGGGATCCACTGTCACCAACGCCAGAAAACTCTGCCTCTTACCAGAAGAAGTTGACCCCCAATTACGGACGGGTCAAAATGCGCAATGTGAATTCCCAGGAGAATGGCGTGAACCAGGATATATGTTAACTTGGAAGGAGCAAGGATGGATCCCCGTTGTGCAAAGATAAGCACCCGCAGACCTAATTCCGACAGCAAACCCTGCTCAGAATATTGATAGCTGCCCAAAATATGAATTTCAAAAGTCAGATGGAAGAATTAAACCTGTGAAACATGAATTCTCCTCACAGAGGACAATTCAATTCCAAAGGCAGAAAAAACTTCATAGTGTAGTATTTCCAGAAATATTCATTACGTAGTATAAAACGTACATCAAAAAAATAAGTATGTCACCATAGAAATAGATGGTATGTTTCAAACCATAAAGATGGCCGCCACGTTCCGGTACATGCGTTCTGAGCCAGCACATTTTTTTCAACACACACCCTGAGAGAGCGCAGCACCACGATCCGGTGCCCGCTGTGTCCTCCGGACACAGTGGAACACCGATCGTCGTACGGGACCTCTGTGCGAGGACCCAATCATGTGTTCACGGATTGGCCAATCTGATTGGTCATTAATCTTTGTACATTGTCATTGGTTTTTAATACTACCTTACTGAACAAGCCACAGAGAATTTTTATTTTAGATGTCCAATATTGCCAAGCTTTTTTTTTCTTTGCTTCTGCATTGTCTTTTTTTTGCTGCTTCTGTATATTACCATCTTGCCTTTTCCATATTTATTTCAGTACGAGGAAGTTGCAGAGAAGGATGACCTAATGGGGATTGAAGACACGGCTAAGAAAGATATCCTGATATGTGTGCTTGAATCATGTTATTAGAATCTAAACCAATCAGTCACATATATGTAAAACACAAGTTTTCTTTCTGACTGCAACACACTGACCATTCATGTGAGCCGCAGACTACATCAGGACAGTTCCTGGCTGCCATAGTGGAATAAGTCCAAGGTCACTTAAAGCCCAACTTTGGGCAACTAAAAAAATATCCGTTTCAGGGGTTAATTGCTTGTTTTGGTCTAGGGGAAAAAAACCCAAACATTTACTTACCTGATTTTTCACCCCTCCTCGCAGCTTCTTCTTCCAAGCACTTCTAGCTAGCAGTCTAGGGCCTTGACGTAATCAAAACCAGAACAGGGTCAATAGCCCTGCATTGGACACATTGAACATGGGGACGCTGAAGGACAGTCCACTGCTGGAGCCTGGGTTAGCACCACCTGCCAGGGGAGCGGAGGGTAAGGTAAGTAAAACCGTTTCTCCTTTCACCTGACAAAACAAGCTATTAACCCTTGCAGAGCGGATGCAGTCCCACTGCAGGGGATCATTTTTTTAGTTACCTGGAGTTGGGCTTTAACTTTTCATAAATGTGTTAGAGGTCTAGTTATGCTAAGCTCCAATCACTTGTTGCTGGTGTGTTGTTTGTGGCACTGAGTGGTGTACCGCCACTTTGGGTATGCAGGAGAAGTATACTGTTCCTGTGTACCACTATAAAGCCTGAAAGGGGGGTAAATTAATTAAAAATCTAAAAAAATTGAATGCTATGAAGAACCCATTTGCCTCCCTGTGGTAGAAAATAATTTATATGTCTCTTCTGCAGAAAAAAAACAAACTTTCACTTATCTGCTAGCAATTTATTAAAAATTGTACATTGACTGCAGCTCATGTACAGTACAGCGCAGAGTCCAGCTTGAATGAGTGGGAGTTACCTATTCAGGGCCTGTTAAGTGGGTAAAGCATTGTAAGTTTGAGAATGGACATAGGGAGCTCAGACCTCACACCCAGAGGTAAGGATGTCATAATATGCAAGTATTCATTCCCCACCATCACCGCCACTTAACCTCCCTAGCGGTCTGATTATGTCAGTATTTCTGTGCTCAAAGTTTTACATTTTTTTGCATGGAAATATGTTGTTTTTTTATTAGAAATTACAGATTCTTAGGAATAACTCACTGAAATCTGTCCGAGCAAGAGTCTAGTAAACATCCCGGGTATAATTTATTTATTTTTACAGGTACTTATATAGTGCTGTCAATTTTGTGCAGCGCTTTACATATATATTGTACATTACATCAGTCCCTCACCCTCAAGGGGTGTACAATCTAAGGTCCCTAACTCACATACATTCATACATACACATACTAGGGCCAATATAATAAAACTTGAAACACAAAATCATAAATTATAATATAATAAATAAATATAATAATAATAAATGTAATTCAATAATGTAATCAAACCAAAAACACTGAAATTTGAAATATAGCGCCAAGTTCGCACATTGCTGAGTTCAGTCGCAGAATCGTTTTCAGTGTCTGATGAGGAATTTCCCCCACGAATCATTATCACTCAATTCTGCAAGTGGTTCTAATTTACTATCGCTGTTCTCTAGCCGGTCTAAAACTGCTTTTGGTGTAAAGGGACGCTTTTTTGGATGCCATGGACATTTCTTAGTTTCCAGGCAGAAAGAACAGTAAAAATGCAGGCAGGGCGCAGGACAAAGCACTCGGGACAAAATGTATGTGAAATGGTTTGATACAGTAATGTTATACTATGTGATTTTAGTGTATTTAGTGAATGTCACATTTTTTAATTTCCCGCCGATTCTGTCCCCCGTACGTCCCGACGCTCGCAGGGAACGGAACACGGATGCCGGCATCGGCCAGAGGACATGGCTGAGGATGCTGCAGGAGGGACATCGCGGGAGCGCAGGACGAGATAAGTGAAACGGGGATCCCGGAGCAACGCTGCAGGGTATTCCAGAGTGTAGCTCGGGGTTACCGCTTTTGGTACTGAAACTTTACCCCCAGCTACACTCGGGAATACCGCCAGGGGGGTTAATTCCACTTTAAAGCCCATCTCAAGCTTCATTATCGATCTTTTTATATTATTAATTTATTCCTTCCCTCCAATGCACTGCTTACCCCCCTCCATGCTTCAACACTATCCCCTTTAAGCTGGCCATACGCTGATCAAAATTTTGCTGGTCCGAATTTTGATCAGTGTGTGGTTTTCCCTTCTTCACAGAAGTCAATTGTTTAATCGACGTCTGTTGATGGGACATGTTGGAAAACATTTCAGTCAATCAAGCTGCAGCTGCTAACCAGTGTCTTCTGACAATGGTGTGTGCCACTCTCCGGATACAATATCGTAAAGGGGTAAAGAGGGGAGATTCCTCCATCCACTTTGAGGAATCTGGATGAAAAAGAAAAACTGTGTATGGCCAGCTTTACACAGCCCTACCGGACTGCACAGCCAGGTCAGTGATTTCACTTTCCTGCAGTTAGGCTATACAGCTTGGTCTCCTCATCTCCACCATCCTAGGGAATGCGACCAGGTTTCATATTGCACCCTATGGCGTGAGAGGTGGACCATGCCTTTTGAAGTTTATATTTTTGTATGTCATACAAAATAAACCGTGCACCTAAACCTAATAAATAAATTAATAAGTGCTGCTGCTCATGGGGGAAAGAAACATCAATTGTAAATATAACTAAACCACAGTGCAAAAATTAATAAAATAATACGTAATACATTTCATCAGTGAAATAAATATATGTGAATATATAAAACAATTAATAAATAAAAGTCCAGTGTCCCAAATCAATAGTGAAAAAATGTGCTCCAATCAAAAAAACAGTGCTGAAAAAAACTCCAACATGCCCACACCATTGTGACTTCCAATCTGGCCCACACTCACCAAATGGAATGGACTCTTAGCTGATGGGGCTTAAGAGTGAAAAAAGCTTAAAGTTGGGATATATCCTCCAAAAGTGATCCCACTCAGGAAATTGTTGCTTGACAACCTCCAAACCATCACCCACAGGTAGATGACAATTCAAAGAGACAACAGAAACACGAATAGTGTAATACTGCATAAACGCTTTAATTGGTTAAAACCAATGCACATAATGCACTCACATTTTACAAATAGGTAACAAGCCTCATAAATGTAACCTTTCCCCCTCAAGCAGGTATCCGATCACATCAATCATGGCTCCATAGAAAGTGAACTGGCAGCAGTGTATAGGGATGTGTTCTCTACATCAAAATGGCTCTGGAGCGCTGCAGCCAGCATATGCTCCACTCACTGGACGTGACGTCACGAAGCCTCTGTCAGAAACGGAAATTGCTTCAACGCGTTTCGTCCCTCCAGGGAGTTATCACAGATATTAACCACTTGCCATCCGGCCGCTGTATGTAAAAGGCCGGGCGGTGGCAGTCCAGGGGCGGGTTGCCGTTCAGAAATCACAGCCGCCATTATGGACTGTGCGCGCTCCCTGGCAGCGCGCAGCACCGTGATACGGTGCCCGCTGTGTCCTCCGGACACAGTGGAACACTGATCATTGTACGGGACCTCTGTGCGAGGTCCCGAACGTGATCACTGATTGACCAATCAGTGATCACATGTAGAGTAGTAAGCAAGATGTCACTTCTGAAATCATTGCTTACTACGTGTGAAATCTGTGAATGATCATAGAGGTCACATGGTACAAGGCTATTCACAACAGCCTTGTACCATGTGACAAGCTGTGACCAATCACAGCTCACACAGTAGTTCTCAATGGCTGCAAGAATGCAGCAAGAGAGAAGGAAAAATTATTGCTTTTACAGCCTTTTTGGGTGTAAAAGCAATCAGTGTAAAGAAAAAAAAATTTCATCACCTCCACAAGTAGTACAGTGTCACCATGGTTACACTGCACTGCTAGGGTGACAGTATGTAAAAAAAAAAAAAAAACATAAATAATATGAAAAAATGAAATAAACATGTTAAATTGTTTTTTAAAAATTATAATTTTTGGTTATAATCTAATTTGGGTTATTTTTTTTTTTTTACTAAAAAGATAACTGAATAAATGTTGGCCAATATTTATGATGAAATATTATTTATTTGCAACATTTTATAAGAAAAACACTTTTTTTTCAAAATTTTTGGACTTTTTCAGTTATATAGCCAAAAAAATAAAAATCCCAGTTGTGAATAAATGCCACCAAAATAAAGCTTTATCTGGCTCAAGAAAATGCTAAAAAATTCATATGGGTACAGTGTTGCATGACCGCGCAATTGTCATTCAAAGTGTGATAGCCTTTAAAGCTGAAAATTGGCCTGGTCAGGAAGGGGGTAAAAGTGTCCGGACTGGAAGTGGTTAATTGTTTTATATATTCACATATATTTATTTCACTGATGAAATGTATTCTGTATTGTTTTATTAATTTTTGCGCTGCGGTTTAGTTATATTTATATTTTGTACGTTTATTTCTTTATAGAGTTGGAGTTTGAAGTTCTTTTAGTGGGTTTCATAATATCAGTGTTTTATGACTTGATTTTGGACCACTCACGTTATGTGTTGTTCTGTGGGTGTATGTCAGAATCAAAACATCAGATCACGTTTTTCCTTAATCCGGGCACGCTTCTTCTCCAAGCCAACACTGCGCAGCAAGAATACGGTGTTTACCGTCGGAAATCGGGCCGCCATCATCAGTCCTACGGAGCTGGAGGGTCCAATCATAGTGCCGCACACAGCACAGAAGAGTGATGTCAGGGTGAGAAATGTCTGTAAGGGGCGGGGTGGAGCGTGGGCTGGAATAATGTAACTGCACTATATTACATCGTCCGGCAGTGCACATAATGGGGTTGATTTACTAAATCAGGTGCAGCTGTGGATGGTGGCCAATCAGCTTCTAACTTCAGCTTGTTCAATTAAGCTTTGGCAAAAAAAAAAAACGAAAGCTGATTGGTTTCTATGCACAGCTGCACCAGATTTTGCCCTCTCCAGGTTTAGTAAATCAACCCCAGTGAGTACTGCTGAACAGTTTGTATTAAGTTTTGATGCTGCTTTCTCATTTTCATGTTTTTTGATGTTCTAAATTTTCAGATTTGTTGTATTTTATATACATGCGTGTAGATTACCCCACTAATGGCTGTATGTTAGTGAGTGAGGTCAGATCCCTGATGGATCTGAATGGACTCAGACTGATGGAATGGAGATTGAGGAGCAGTAAAACAGAATCGCTGTGCCGCACGAATAATTAGGTAGCAGAGGCTGCATGTGTAGCGGTCAAGTATGACTGCCCAACATGTTCAATATGAAATTAAAATACACAGTGGGAGGGTTTAAAACGCACTTTGTAGTTACATTGACTATGTAAGCAGTTTTCAATGAAATCAATGGAAAATGCATGAAAAGTACCTCAAAAACGCCTCTGAGAAATGTTTTTGGTGTAGTTTTTATTTACGTGTCCTTTAAAAAGTGCGGTAAAAACGCCCATGCGTTTTTGCGGTGGATCAGTGTGAAAGTAGCCTTAAAGTGATTCTAAAGCAAAGAATTAAAAAATAACAAATGTCATACTTACCTGCTCTGTGCAATGGTAGTGCACAGAGAAGCCCTAAACTTCATTTTGGGTGCCCCACTCCTGGCTCCTACCGCCTGCCTAGTGCCCCCAATAGGAATCCTCGTGCTATGGGGGGCACTCAGCAGGGGGGGGAGGGGCGCTCGAGCAGGCTTGCTCCTGAGCCACTCTCTGTGTGTTGATTCACACACACAGCGCGGCTTGGCCTTGCCCCTGCTCTTTCCTCATTGGCTCACTGGCTGTGATTGCCAGCAGCAGGGACCAGTGGTTCCCACTACTGTGTGAGCCAATGAGGAGACATAGACCCTGGGGAGCTGCTGCTATGGTGCACATTGCTGGATTGAGATTGGGCTCAGGTAGGTATTAGGGGGGCTGGGGGAGAAGCTGCACCCAGAAGGTTTTTTTACGTTCATACATAGAATACATTCGGGTAAAAAACCTTGAGCCTCCAAAACCAGTTTAACCATTTGCCGCCCGGCCTATAGCCGTTTGGCGCCCGCAAAAATGCATTACCTTTCCGGGGTGTATGCCATTTGGCGTCCTCCCGCACATGCGCAGTTCGCGTGGTTGCAGAGCTGCGAAGCGGCGCGATCTGTCACCTGCCGTATACCTCGGACACGGCCGATGACAGATCTGAGTGCCGGTACCATGTGACCTGCTGTGACCAATCACAGCAGGTCACATGACAGTTGTATACAATGGATGGCTTCATTCATGCCATCCATTGTATACTAGTGTCTAGCTGTGAATGGTCACAGCAGGTCACATGCACATGTCATGTGATTAGCTGTGGCCAAATCACAGCTAAGCACAAAAAAAAAAAAAAAAATACTGAATGAATCGATGTCATTCAGGTACATGCTTGCTTATAGCAAAGTAAATCTTTGCTATAAGCAAATTGTGTAAAGAAAAAAAAAAAATACAGATCACTTCCCCAAAGTAGTAAAATGTTACTATGGTAACTTTGTACTACTTTGGTCATAGTAAAATATGGAAAAAAAATCTTAAAAAAAATGTAATAAAAAATAATTAAAAAAATATATATAATTTTTTTTTTTCATACTGTCACCAGTCAGTGTCCCTGTTCACCGCCATGCCAGTTATATGATGACGCTGTACTGCACTGGTGACAGTATGTAAAAAAAAAAAAAGTGAAAATAATTTTTTCATTTTCCGAAAAATTATGCCAAAAAAATACAGCTTCAAAAAACTCGCCATGCCTCTTATGAAGTACGTCGGACTGTCTACTCTGCAAAAAGGGGTCATTTGGGGGATATCTGTACTGTTCTGACATTCTTGGATATATGTACTGTTCTCATTTGGGGGATAAATTAGATTGGGGGCTGTCCTGACATTTGGGGGTACTGTTCTCATTTGGGGGATTGTACTGTTCTCAATAATCAGTACTTCAGGATTGATCAATAATCCATAGTTTGTGAACTCTATAACTTTCCTACAGATTAAATAATACATCCTAATTTGGGTTATTTTCACCAAAGACATGTAGCAGAATACATCTCGGCCTAAATTTATGAAGAACAATTATTTATTTGTAAACTTTTATAACAGAGCGCTGAAACCTGAAAAATGGCCTGGGCAGGAAGGTGTAAAATTGCCCGGTATGGAAATGGTTAATCTGTTATTGAATTGCATTTTATAGGAGGATTGATACAATAAAATGGCTACATGTATTCTAAACAAAAGACTTCCATGCAGTGCTAATGGAGACCCTTCTTCTTCCCCCAGTACCCGTTTGAGTCTCTGTTCCGCAGTCAGCACTACGCCCTCCTTGATAACAGCTGCCGGGAATACCTCTTCTTATCGGACTTCTTCCTGGCGAGCGGCTTGGCGGCTCAGGAACTCTTCAACACGGTGATGGGCAAAACCTTATCCATGTTCCTGGTGAGACACCTCCAAGCAGGAGACCAGTTATTACACCGTGATTCCCCCCCCCCCCCATGATGGAGCCTGAATTCCATTTCTCTAACCTCTTTTGTCTTTGTGTTTTTACAGAAGCACATTGACTCCTATGTATCCGACTGCTTCGACAGCATCGCCATTTTCCTTTCTATACACATTGTGCTACGGTTTAAAGGCATCGCTCAAAGGAGAGACATCCCTGCTATAGACAAGTGAGACAACCCTGTGACATGTGACACTTCTGACTTACTACGCTTATTCAGTAGAGCAAAGAGTAATGAGCAAGGTGCAGGAACCCCGACCAACCAATGAGAATGCATCCAGGGCTGCTGTTAGAAAACTTGGGGCCACATACAGCAAACCTGACAGGGCCCCTCCACCAACAAAAAAAAAGGGCTTCAGTTATGAATGAACACAGTGAGTGATTGTTACCGATCACTCATTGGTTCATTCAGGAAAGGCAGGGGCTCAGGGGCTGATAAATGTGACATTTACCGAACACTTCCCCCACTCTCCATCCTGAAGGATCCTATTGTGTGCTCGCAACTGCCGAAGGAAAGGAGAGAAGAGAAGCCAGCAGCACTGTAGGGGCACACGGGGGCCTGGGCTGCAGGGGGAAACGAGGGTGATGGGTGGGGCGAGGGCAGTTACTGGAACCGACCCCCTGTATGGCAAACGGGAGGAAGAGAAGATACCACCCTCTCTACCCACATCTGATTCAACCAGCTGCCTGGGCCCCCGTGCTGGCCGGGCCCCCGTACAGGAGGACTGGTGGTGCCCCCTTATCCACGGCCCTGAATGCAACCCTCACTGGTCTGATTTTAGGACACTCAATTGTGATTGGCTATTGCTTCCTGCACAGCTCATCATTTTACTCTTTACAGCCTTATGGACTATAGTGTCATGTAATAAGTGTAGGTGGCTGCAGCTGACAAATTAGAAAATATCGAATGAAGCGGATACTTTTTATTTACGTAGATAGGTATTAACAATGGATATTTTGGTAAAAAAAATAAAATGACGTAAAGTATATGATGCAGTCTGTCAACAGAATAGCAGTTTTGTTTTTCTGAATAGTTTTATTGGCTGTAGATCCTGTAAGTGAAACTGTTATTAGTCTGCTTCCTTATTCCTCATGCACACGGGTCCTTTTTACAGCGGCTGTTTTTGGCTTTTGATGTTTTTTTTTTCTACAGCCAGTAAACTTAGCTGTAAAAATGCTCTAACGATGAAAAACACAAACGCGGCTAAACGCTAATTCAAAAACGCTGAAAAACTCGTTCTTTTAATGTGACTTTACACAGCTAGCGCTACCAGCATTATTAAAACTCCCCGTGTGCATGGAGCCTTAACCACCTCCCATCCGGCCGTTGTATGTAAACGCCCGGACGGTGGCAGTGCAGGGTCGGCCTTCCCGCACCCTGCTTGTGTGCGCTCCCTGGGAGCGCGCAGCACCGCGATCGGAGTCCCGCTGTGTCCACCAGACGGATCGTCGGACGGGACCTCTGTACGAGGTCCCGATCATGTGATCACTGATTGGCCAATCAGTGATCACATGCAAAGTAGTAAGCAAGATGTCACTTCTGACATCATTGCTTACTACGTGTGAAATCTGTGAATGATCACAGAGGTCATATGGTACAGGGCTATTCACAACAGCCGTGTACCATGTGACAAGCTGTGACCAATCACAGCTCATTCAGTAGTTCTCAATGGCTGCAAGAATGCAGCTGGAGAGAAGGAGAAATGATTGCTTTTACATCCTTTATGGGTGTAAAAGCAATCAGTGTAAAAAAAAAAAATCTTTATCACCCCCCACAAGTAGTACAGTGTCACCATGGTGACACTGTACTGATAGGGTGACAGTATGTAAAAATAAATTTAAAAAAATGTAAAAAAAAAATGTTTCAAAATTATAATTTTGGTTATAAAATAATTTGGGTTATTTTTTTTTTACTAAAAATATAACGGAATAAATTTTGGCCAAGATTTATGATGAAATACTATTTATTTGCAAAATTTTATAAGAAAAATACTTTTTTTTTTCAAAATTTTTGGACTTTTTAATTTACATAGCAAAAAAAAAAATCCCAGTGGTGAATAAATACCACCAAAATAAAGCTTTATCTGTCTAAAATAAATGCTAAAAAATTCATACGGGTACAGTGTTGCATGACCGCGCAATTGTCATTCAAAGTGTGATAGCACTGAAAGCTGAAAATTGGCCTGGACAGGAAGGGGTGAAAGTGCCTGGACTGGAAGTGGTTAAAGCAGAGCAATACTCGCCTTGGATGCAGTGAAGCAGTGTCCTGAAGCGTCCTGCCAGCTACTGACATCTATGGCGGGTAACGTCACTGCCGCGCATGCATAGGAGTGCAGTTAGCTTCGGCATTGCTGAATTTCTACAGTGAGCTGCACATTCACAGCTCACTCTACAGGGACGAACAGGCAGGTAAGTAACTTTATTGCAGAAGAGACAAAGCATATCTCTTCTGTATTAAAAATCCTGCCTGTCTGCCCAGTTTTTTCTTAGCTTAAAGCTCCACTTTAACCTCCCTGGCGTCTGATTACGTCAATATTTTTGAATGTCAAAGCGGTACATTGTTTTGCATGGAAATTTGTTGTTTTATATTGTAGGTCTGTAATTCTTAGGAATAACTCACTAAATCTGTCCAAACAAGAGTCTAGTAAACATCCCGGATATGATAAAGTTTGAAACACGAAATCATAAATTATAATATAATAAATAATTATAAAAAATAGTAATACATTTAATTCAATAATGTAATCAAACCAAAAACACTGAAATTTGAAATAGAGCGCCAAGTTCGCACATCGGGCGGCACAGTGGCTTAGTGGTTAGCACGTCTGCCTTGCAGTAAATGGGTCATGGGTTCGATTCCCGACCATGGCGCTTCCTGCGTGGAGTTTGCATGTTCTCCCTGTGCCTGCGTGGGTTTCCTCCGGGTGCTCCAGTTTCCTCCCACACTCCAAAGACATGCTGGTAGGCTAATTGGCTCCTGTCTAAATTGGCCCTAGTATGTGTATGTATGAATGTAAGTTAGGGACCTTAGATTGTACACCCCTTGAGGGTTAGGGACTGATGTGAATGTACAATATGTATGTGTAAAGTGCTGCGTAAATTGACAGCGCTATATAAGTACCTGAAATAAATAAATAATAAATAAATCACTGAGCTCAGACACAGAATCATCGCTGTCGTCACTTTCAGTGTCTTATTGACGATTTTCCCCACGAATCATTATTGCTCAAGTCTGCAAGTGATTCTAATTCGCGATCGCTGTTCTCTAGCCGGTCTAAACAGCTTTTGACCTAAAGGGACGCTTTTTGGATGCCATGAACGTTCTCGAGTTTCCAGGCAGAACGGTAAAAGTGCAGGCAGGGCGCAGGACAAAGCACTCAGGACAAGACTGAGGGGAAATAGTTTGATACAGTAATGTGATCCTAACAGATTACATTGTATTGTGTGTGTCATATTTTTACTTTTTTGAATCTCCCGCCGGTTCTGCCCCCTGCGTCGCAACACTCGCAGGGAAGGGAACCCGGAAGACAGTTGCCAGCATCAGCCGGAGGACATCGGGGGATCGCAGGACAAGGAAAGTTACACTACAGTGTGATCCTGAGTGTTGCTCGGGGGTTACTGCTTTTGGTACTGTAAATTAACCCCGAGCCACACTCAGGATTACCACCAGGAAGGTTAAGAGCAGAACTAAATGACAAATTACAGTTTGCAAGCAGGCAGGCTATGTATTGCAGAAGACACATGCAGTGTGTCTATGCATGTGATGGCAGAGTGGTAGTGCAGTGTTTACAGGGTTAAATCAGGAGGTGACCCTTTTACCTCCTCACCACCTGTCAAACGCCCTCTGTAAAGCAATCCAAACACAGATAGCTGTTTATAGTACACTGCTCATGCTTTTCCTGCAGTTTCGCCCAGTCCTGATTGCTGGCCCCATATTTCTGGTTTCGAGGATGGCTCCTCGACTTGGCTCCTCATCCTATGGAGCCACCCTTTTGTGTGCACTCCGGGAAAGGACGTCATGCCAATGTGCACACTGTCTGCACCAACATTGCAAGCGGCTCCTAATTGTGTGATAACTTGGAGCATGAGTGTGCAGGGGGATGATGATGGGATATATAGTTCATGGGAGAGCGATCATGTGACTCTGCTTCCCTAACAGTGACTTTGGGGAAGCAAAGCAGAAGGCTGCCGCTGGAACAGTAGCCCAGTGTAAGAGTTTCTGGATTTAGGTGTCCTTTTATGACACAGAGAATAGCTGTGATTCAGAGGATCGCAGCTTTTCTCTGGTCATTCACAGTTTTATAACACTCAGGAGAACATGTTCAGCCCTTCCCTGGCGATCTGTGTTCTCCCTCCAGATTTCCCCAGAGCTGGAGAATCGGAGGGACCGTTAAGCAGAGATAATTTACCTCTGTTTAGTAAACCTTTTACTGTAATCTCACGAGATTATAGTAAAATCAGCCGTTTTCCAGCGTTTGTAGACCGTTCTCCTTCGTTTGGAGAACTGATCTACATATGCTTCATAAACGGCATTCACAGGAGAACTGTGTTCTCCGAGAATGCCGGAGAACTGAGCAGCGATCTATTACCGCTGGTTCATAAACGGACACCTTAGTCCTATATGGTCCTGTGAAACTCAAATGAGGATTTAGTACAACTTTAGGAAACGTGTGACGATATTATCCTTGTCCCTCATAGATAGGCATGATGTGGGAATATCCAATACTGAATTGTATCTATTCAGTGATAATGTACATATGGTGCAGCGCTAAAAATAAACACACATAACAAAATGATACAATATTACATAAATTAAAACTATAAATTCCCAAAAAGGGATCCTGAAATAAAGTGCAAAAAATATATAAAGTGCAACTGTGTGAATATCTAAAGATGGGTCACAAATTCAGACCCTTTGGGGTTTATTTACTAAAGCTGGAGAGTGCAAAATCAGACTCCCTTCTGCATAGAAACCAATCAGCTTCCAGGTTTCATTGCCAAAGCTTCATTGAACAAGCTGAGGTTAGAAGCTGATTGGTTTCTATGCAGAAGGGAGTCTGATTTTGGACTCTCCAGCTTTAGTAAATAAACCCCTGTATGTCGTGCAAAAACAAAGAAACCCAATCCCAAATTGGGATGATACACGCCAAATTGTGTCAGCAGCATCTAGCGCAGGAGGAACTATTACACTTATATATCTATTCAGTGATGTCAGCAGTCTGTAATCAAACTGCATTTACTGAAATATTGGTCAGGCTTTTAAAATAGCCTCCTCCACTGTGTAACGGAGACAGGTACACTTTAAGACAGACCTTACCATCAATAATGCTGTAACTTGCTGGAATTTAAACCCCCCCCCCTTTTCCCCATGGTGTTGTCTAGCTAATATAGGTTCCTCTTATGTGTGTTGCTGGCCCGCAGGTACTGGGACGCCCTGTTGGACATGCTGTGGCCCCGCTTCCAATATATCCTGGAGTTAAACATTCAGAGTATCCGGAACACCGATCCACAGAGGCTGGGCAATCTGGACACGAGACCGCACTATGTAAGATTTAAAGTACCCTAACTTGAATACACGCGTCTGTGCCTGTACCATACTAACTGCACCTCGTCTGCTTTCCCAGATAACTCGCCGTTATGCTGAATTTTCATCTGCTATCGTTAGCATAAATCAGACATTCCCAAACGAGAAGACCAATTCCCTCCTGGGACAGCTGCAGGTAAATGTATATGTATACAGCTGAGCATCACGTCACAAAGTCTAGAAAACTCAATGAACAGGACAGCAATGCGTGGTTGTGCTCTGAAATGCAAATGTTTGTGTTTACTGGTGCAACCAATAAAATACCAGCTTTCATTTTACCATTACAGGCAAGAAAAGGAAAGAATCAATCTGATTAGTTTGTTTATTTTGGAAAACATCTAAATCGAGTGTCTTGTTTCCAGGTGGAAGTTGAGAATTTTGTCCTGAGAATGGCAGCGGAATTTTCTTCCAGAAAGGAGCAACTCATTTTCCTGATTAACAACTATGACATGATGCTCAGTGTACTGATGGTGAGGGATGCTGGGCTATTGCACAGTGTTTGTGAATGTATCCTCTGTGTGTCTCTTCTTCAATGTCACTGTCATTGTTTATTTCAAGGAACGAGCATCATCAGACAGTAAGGAGGTGGAGAGCTTCCAGCAGTTACTCACCGCGCGGACTCAGGTCAGTGATTACAAGGACAAGACAGCCATTTGTTGCATCACTCTGGATTTCACGTTAATCCTTTGTAAAGTGTAAATGCCCAGACCAACTTAACCTCTTCGTTACAGCGCAGTTGTCTAGTTTTGGGATGACGTCCATGGACGTCATTCCAGAACACGCCCCCCAGCGCTGCTGGTGATTGCTGTGTCCTACGGACACAGCTGATCACGTGATACAGTAAACAGCCAATCACAGCGGCCTTTTACCACATGATCAGCTGTGTCCAATGACACAGCAGATCACCAAGTAAATACAGTTGCACTTTCCTCACGATGTCACAGCATGAGGAAAGTACTGCCGATAACCGGCAATTGTCAGAGAAGTGATCAGCACTGATCATCAGGGCACTGATGATCAGTGCCCAGCAGTGTCACCCATCAGTGCTGCCCAGCAGTGTCGCCCATCAGTGCTGCCCAGCAGTGTCGCCCATCAGTGCTGCCCAGCAGTGTCGCCCAGCAGTGCTGCCCAGCAGTGTCACCCATCAGTGCCTCCTATCAGTGCCCATCTGTGCTGCCTATCCGTGCCACCTCATCAGTGCTGCCTATCTGTCTGTACCCAGCAGTGCTGCCTATGAGTGCAACCTCATCAACGCACATCAGTGAAAGAAAAAAAAATTACCTGTTTACAAAATCTTATAATAGAAACAAAGAAAAACTTTTTTTTTTTACAAATTTTTGCTCTTTTTTTGTTTATAGCACAAAAAAATAAAACACCCAGCGGCGAGTACATACCACCTAAAGAAAGCTCTATTTGTGTGAAAAAAATGATAATTTCATATGGGTACAGTGTTGCATGACTGCAGAATTGTCATTCAAAGTGCGACAGCGCTGAAAGCTGAAAATTTGCCTGGGCAGAAAGGGGGTATAAGTGCCCGGTAGGCAAGTGGTTAAATCAGTAGTAAACTCTCATTTTGAACTTGTACCTGCAGGTAAGCTACAATGACTATCTACAATACATAGGTACAGTGAATGTCTTCTAAATATGCACCATTTAGGAGATATTCACAATTTCAGCAGCCAGTGACGTCACCATCTTATGCATACTGTGCTCTGCTTTGAGGGCACACACAGCGTGTGCTCTCAGTTCAAAGCCCTGTGCTGCGATCATGACAGCATCACAGCCCGGTCATTCAAATAGCTGGAGCGTGCATATCCGGAAGGAGGACCAGGTGAAAATGGAAGCCCTGGCAGCATTGACAGCGTGCCGCTGGAGGGCTTCATTTAACCACTTCCAGTCCGGACACTTTTACCGCCCTCCTGTCCAGGCCAATTTTCAGCTTTCAGCGCTATCACACTTTGAATGACAATTGCGCGGTCATGCAACACTGTAACCATATGAATTTTTTAGCTTTTTTTTGAGGCAGATAAAGCTTTATTTTGGTGGTATTTATTCACCACTGGGATTTTTATTTTTTTTTTTGCTATGTAAATGAAAAAGTCCAATAAGTGGCCCCTCGCTCTTCAAAAAGTTGAGCACCCCTGGCCAAGACTAAAAGGCTAACTCCACCTTTAAGAAGTTGTACTCCTATTTGTAACATCTAACATGGTGCCAAGCAAATTATAGCAGAGGGTAATCACAAGAAATAGAAAGCAAAAACGACCTGATAGGTACTTTTGCTACAGAGATTGAGGTTAAAGCGGAGCTCCACCCAAAAGGGGAAGTTCCGCTTTAAGGGACAGGTACCCGCACCCACTTCCAGTCCAATCACCTAGGCTAGTGGTGGGCAACCTTTTTTTTTCAACTGAGCCAAATCTCGCCAAAACCACGATTGAAATTTATTTTGAGAGCCACATTTTTAAAACTGAAAATACATCCCCCATATAGTAATTCATCCCCCATAGTAATTCATCCCCCATAGCAATTCATCCCCCATATAGCAATTCATCCCCCATAGCAATTCATCCCCCATAGCAATTCATCCCCCATAGCAATTCATCCCCCATATAGTAATTCATCCCCCATAGTAATTCATCCCCCATAGCAATTCATCCCCCATATAGCAATTCATCCCCCATAGCAATTCATCCCCCATAGTAATTCATCCCCCATAGCAATTCATCCCCCATATAGCAATTCATCCCCCATAGCAATTCATCCCCCATATAGTAATTCATCCCCCATAGTAATTCATCCCCCATAGCAATTCATCCCCCATATAGCAATTCATCCCCCATAGCAATTCATCCCCCATATAGTAATTCATCCCCCATAGTAATTCATCCCCCATATAGTAATTCATCCCCCATATAGTAATTCATCCCCCATAGCAATTCATCCCCCATAGTAATTCATCCCCCATAGTAATTCATCCCCCATATAGTAATCCATCCCCCATATAGTAATTCATCCCATATAGTAATTCATCCCCCATATAGTAATTCATCCCCCATATAGTAATTCATCCCCCATATAGTAAGTCCCCCATATAGTAAGTCCCCCATATAGTAAATCCCCCCTGTGTCAATTCACTTACCTTTGCTCCGCGCGTTCCTCTCGCCGTGTTCCCCCGCGCCGTTCTGGTCTTCAGGGCGGACTGTGAGAGGAGAGGAGTTCGTCACGCTGCCCCGCCTACATCCTGGCTGCCCCGCCTACATCCTGACAGCTGCAGAGTCCTGACTTTTGGGGCGGCCCGAGCCCGAGAGGAGGGAGGGGGGCGGCCGCCCGAGAAGAGGGAGGGGAGGGGGCGGCCGCCCGAGAGGAGGGAGGGGAGCGGGCGGCCGCCCGAGAGGAGGGAGGGGAGCGGGCGCCCGGCACACAGAAGAGCCGCATTTAAGTTTGTAAAGAGCCGCATGTGGCTCGCGAGCCGCGGCTTGCCGACCACTGACCTAGGCTATCGGAAGCGGAAGGTGTCCTCCCTCCCTCCCTGTAGTCTTTTGGGACACGTGACAGGTCCCAGAAGACTACAGGAACATTCATGAAGCTCAGCAATACTCACGCATGCGCAGTGGGTACCCGGCTGTGAAGACGCAAGCTGTCACAGCCGGGTGCCCACACTGAAGATGCCGGCCTCCTGGAATACAGGACGGCCGGTGAAACGGGCTGCGGGGGACACACCATGGGATCGTGGGACAGGTAAGTGGTTGTTTTTTAAAAGTCAGCAGCTACAGTTTTTGTAGCTGCTGACTTTTATTTTTTGACAGGATGAGTGGAGCTCCACTTTAATTTAATAAAACTGGAGAGTGCAAAATCTGGTGCAGCTCTCCGTAGAAACCAATCAACTTATTATTGCAACTTTTACCCAAAAGTTATTTTGTATTGCGACTGCCACCTCTTTACGTGCTTTTTCTTCCATTTTCTAATATTTTACTTTTTTCACTGGGTATCCACAAAAACATACACCCCGAGCAAATCCAGTGGTGTAGTGTGGGGGCCTGGCACTCTGCTGCTGCAGACCGTGAATCATTGCCAGGGAGTCAGCTGCAAGAACCTGGGCAGCTGCCCCTGATGACATGCCCTGGTGAATGCACTGTAATGTTCCCCTGAGGCTTCCTGAGCTGCATGACATCCTAGGAGGACTTAGACGGCATTCTTACCTAGGTGAGAAACCAGGAAGTGCTGGGAGGGTTCCACAAAAAAACTAGCAAGAAATAACTGAACACCATTGTCAGGTGAAGGGAGGAGTGAAATGCTAGAGTGGATTGGGAGAGTGCAAGTCCCCTTTAACACCTTCCCGTCCGGCCTATAGCAGATTGATGGCCAGGCGGGACACTCACTGTTGTGACTGGGTGTCATATGACATCCACGTAGCGGCATGATCTGTTGTGGACACAGCCGATGACCTATCACTACAGTGGTCCATTGCCTGTGTCATGTGACTGCTGTGACCAATCACAGCAGATCACATGTATCCAATGGATGGCTTCCTGTCATGCCATCAATTGTATACAATTAAGTTGTTAGCTGTGACTGGTCAAGGCCAGGGGCGGACTGACAACTCATGGGGCCCCCGGGCAATAGGGGATCATGGGGCCCCTGTGTCCTTGCCCAAACTCAAAAAAGACTATGAAAAAGTTACCAGGGGCATCTCATGGGGCCCCCTACTGACCCCGGGCCCTCAGTCAGAGCCCGAATTTCCAAATGGTCAGTCTGCCCCAGGTCAAGGCAGTCACATGATACAGACAGGGCCAATCACAGCCCATCTGTATCACGTGATGAACTTTGCCCAATCACAGCTAATCACAACAAAAGACTGAATGAATCAGTTTAATTCAGTAACAATGATTGCAAATATCAATGAAATGTATTGGTATTAGCAATCATAATGTGTTAAAAAAAAAATCCTGATCACTTGGCCAGAGTAGTTCAATGTTACTATGATAACATTGTATTGCTTTGGTCACAGTGTGCTGAAAAATAAAATAGTAGAAAAAATTTAATAAAAAATAAAAAAAATAGAAACATTTGAAAAAAAAAAAATACAAATTCAATTATTATTATTTTCACCAAAGAAATGTAGCAGAATACATTTTGACCTAAATGTATGGAGAAATGTTATTTATTTGCAAAATGTTATAACAGAAACAAAGAAATGTGCAAAACTTTCAGGTGTTTTTTGTTTTATTTAGCTAAAAATAAAAAACTCAGTGGTGATTAAATACCACCAAAATAAAGCTTTATCTGTGTGAAAAAAAATGATAAAAATGTAATTTGGGGTACAGTGTTGCATGACCGCGCAATTGTCATTCAAAGTGCGACAGCCCTGAAAGATGAAAATAGACCTGGACAGGAAGGGGGTGAAAGTGTCCGGTATTGAAGTGATTAATGATTGTGTATCATATACAGATTTCCCAGTTTATTCAGAAGCCTGATAGACTTGCATGCAGAGGAACAGTATAGCGCGATCACTGAACAGAACTACCAGCAGGAAGTGGAGCGTGTGTATAACAGGCAGCATGCCATTCACGTTACATCACTGACCTCCATCTTAAACTCTCTTCTAGGAATTTATAGAGGAGATCCTGGCTCCATCATTTGGTGGGATGATTGCTTTTGTGAAAGAGTCAGAATCTCTGATTGAGAAGGGCCAGCAGGATCGTCTGAAGAGCGAGGAAGGTGAGAAGCAGTGCCACTTTGCTGTAGCCTCTGCTGATCTGTGTGACAGTGGCTGTTGCAATGACGCGTCTCTTCTCTGTGCAGCACGGGTGGCTCAGCTGGTGCGAGGATTCTCCGCCACATGGAAACAGGCTGTGGAGATGCTGAGTCAAGATGTCATGAGATCATTTACAAACTTTAAAAATGGAACCAGCATCATACAGGTAATAACCTCTAGTGATGCGACGATACTTGTCGTTTAACCACTTGCCGGTGGCAGTCCAGGGGCGGGTTGCCGTTCATAAACGGCGCCTGCCATTTTGGACTGTGTGCGCTCCCTGGGAGCGCACAGCACTGCAATCCGGTGCCCGCTGTGTCCTCCGGAACACCGATTGCTGGATGGTATCTCTGTGCGAGGTCCCGATCGTGTGATCACTGATTGGTCAATCAGTGATCACATGCAGAGTAGTAAGCAAGATGTTACTTGTGAAATCATTGCTTACTACGTGTGAAATCTGTGAATGATCACAGAGGTCACATGGTACAAGGCTATTCACAACAGCCTTGTACCATGTGACAAGCTGTGACCAATCACAGCTCACACAGTAGTTCTCAATGGCTGCAAGAATGCAGTGAGAGAAGGAGAAATGATTGCTTTTACAGGCTTTATGGTTGTAAAAGCAATCAGTGTAAAAAAAAAAAAAGAAAAAAATCTTTATCACCCCCCACAAGTAGTACAGTGTCACCATGGTGACACTGTACTGCTAGGGTGACAGTATGTAGAAAAAAACAAAACAAATAATATAAAAAAATAAAAAAAAATGTAAAAAACATTTTTAAAAAATTATAATTTTTGCTTATAAACTAATTTGGGTTATTTTTTTTTTTTTTTACTAAAAAGATAACTGAATACATTTTGGCCAAGATTTATGATGAAATATTATATATTTGCAAAATTAAATAAGAAAAACACTTTTTTTTCAAAAATTTTTGGACTTTTTCATTTATATAGCAAAAAAATAAAAATTTCAGTGGTGAATAAATACCACCAAAATAAAGCTTTATCTGTCTAAAAAAAAATGCTAAAAAATTCACATGGGTACAGTGTTGCATGACCGAGCAATTGTCATTCAAAGTGTGATAGCGCTAAAAGCTAAAAATTGGCCTGGAGAGGAAGGGGGTGAAAGTGTCCGGACTGGAAGTGAAGAGCAAGTCCTTTCCAATACCAGTTACCAATACCTTTGGCTGCGATTTGAGCCCATAAAAAAATGAATAGAATCAAATCATACTGCAGAGAATCGCATGTGATTTGAAGAGGAATGTGGTGCGATTCCTGTCGGGATCACATGCAGTTTCCCTCACCCCTCCTGTGTGAACCCAGACTGAAGTCACTATGACAAGCCTGAGTTCACACAGGAGCAGTGCGGGAAACCACATGTGATTCGAAGAGGAATCGCACCACATTCCTGTATAAATCACATCCGATTCTTTGCAGTGAGATTTGAGCGCATTTGTTTTGTATGGGCTCACGTTCCACAACAAAGATATCGGTTATAGGGATCTGAGCTTTTGCGCAAGTACTTGTGTAAATGTTTAGTATCGGCACCCCCCTAATCTCTTCTACGTTAATAGGGTGTGAGCACAGTGAATCAAAAATCTGTGATTCCTGCCACTCCTTTAATGTGCCCTTACAAAGATTTACAGCTGAATCCTTCTAATCTATTGCTGACACTTTTTTTGCAAACACCCTCCAATTTGCCAAGGGACCACAGATTTACCTGTTCCTCCTTGCTGCTTCCTTGCACTAAGTTAGACCTCCAAAATTCCTAATGGCAGGAAAGGAATTCCTCTGTATACCAGCCAGCTGATGCCTCCAGGTCTAGGTTTGAGGTGGGATTTGTGTGGGATGGAGGCACTGATTCGCTGCACAGAGAGGAGGTATCCTATAAGCAGGGGCGTCCCTAGGCAGGTGTGGGAGGTGCGCGCCGCACGGGGTGACACCATTTGCACGGGGTGACACCAGACCCGTTCCACGGAAAGGTAAGTTTTAATGCAAGCAGATGATCCCCGCAGAATGGATCGGATTTGCGGATTGAGCATAATGGATTGTAGTCCGATCCATTATCCTCCTCAATCCGCAGATCCGATCCCCTCCAACGATCTCCACAGGAATCGATCTGCGGATTGAGCATAATGGATCGGAGGTCCAATCCATTATCCTCCTCAATGGATCCATCCTGCGGGGATCTATACGGGGCGGATCTCTGAGCAGCTCCTCGAAAAGGTAAGTTTTAAAGCAATCGGATGGTCGGCTTGCTTTAAAAACTTACCTTTTCCATCAGTTAACCCCGTATAGGTTGCAAGCCGACGATCCCCGCAGGATGGATCAGATCAATCGGATTGGGGAGGATAATGGATTGGACTCCGATCCATTATGCTCAATCCGCAGATCCGATCCATCCTGTGGATGGGGGGTGTCACCAAGTGTTCCGGCACCGGTTTACACCAACCCTAGGGACACCCCTGCCTATAAGTGCCTCTGTTTCACTTACGTCCCACACTGGTTGTGGCTTAGACCCAGAGGCATCAGGGGTGCAGTGGGCAGCAGGTACACTTACAGAGCCCAGTCTTTCAAGCCTCCTATAGCCACTTCCAGACCAGTGGTGTATCCATACATCACTGGACGTTCGGTGGTTGTACCGGAGTTATGCCTGCAGCTGCTTTTTTACAGCCAGTGATCAGCTCTGTTGTACAAGAAATTGGAGCGGCTACTACTTCTCTCCCATCCCATCGGGAGTCCCGATCAACCATCTGGCTTGAGGATGAAGTGGGTAGGCAAAGTATATTCTCAGATGGCTGCTGTGACCTCCAAAGAATGAATAGGGGGTAGGGGGACGCAAAACAGGTATGGTTCCTGAGAGTGGAATGCAGGAGTAGGCGGCCAAATAGCACGATGGCAGGCTAAGAGGGAAGTCCCCATGCAAGAAACCTGGAAATGCTGAAGGGGTTCCCACTTGGCAGTCACTGCTTTGACTGGATTTCTTTACCTGATGAAGACAGAAGCATATAAATAATACTGTATAGATAGAGGGATGCCATTTCCCCCTAATGAACGATGATGATGTTCGTCCATCATTTTCAAAGCTGACCTTGACATCTAACAGGTAGTGGGCAGTCCATGGTGTGTCCGTAGGTGGCTGGTAAGACCAATACGGGCACGTATGTTCTGCCACATGTCAGGCAGACATATGTGGGCACCACTGTTGCAGCATTTGCAGCACTGGCTTTGCGGAGTGCTCGCTTCTCTTGTGCTGTGGTTGTTCTTCTCTCCTCAAATGTCTGGCAGCCTTGGTGGATCAGCGTGCGCCATTCGATCGATCTTGTGCCAGGGTTTCCCAAGTGGTGGTGTCAATATCCAGGGACGTGAAGGAGGCTTTCAATGTGTCTTTGTATCGCTTCCTTTGTCCCCCGTGTGATTGCTTTCCTTGAGACAGCTCACCATAGAGGAGCTGTTTAGGTATGCGGTGGTCTGGCATCCTTGCATCCTGCCCAGCGTGTCTGGGCTTTCATCAGCTGGGTGTGAAGTGATGGCAGGCCTGCTCTGGAGAGGACTTCTGTGTCTGGCACCTTGTCCTGCCAACAGATCCTCAGAAGTCTGCGGAGGCAGGTCATGGGGAAGTGGTTCAATTATATATAGGAAACAAAAAGAGGGCGCACAGGTCTAGTGCATTACCTTTAAAAATGAGATTTATATATAAAAAGTAAAATACTGACGAGGAATAAAATCAAATGGAAAGCATGTCACAAGGGATGCAATGTGGTCCAAAACCCCTGAAGGTGGTCTGGTGGGGGATTGTAGACCTCTATATAGCTGGTGGCTGACCCGTTTCGAGGTTGTACCTCTTCCTCAGAGCCAGTCAACTGATTTTATTTATCTTGTGAGTATTTTACTTTTTATAAATCTTAATTTTTAAAGGTAATGCACTAGGCCCGTGCGCCCTCTTTGTTTCCTATATACAGTTCTCTTTGGATTTCCCTGGTCCGTTGAGGGCAGCAAGGCTTGCATTCCTTTCCTACTCATGTGGGGACATTGATAATGTGGAGTGAACTGTCCAGCGCAGGAGCTCAGGCATTTTCTTCTTTCCGGAAGTGGTTCAATTGCCTAGCACAGGGCTTGAAATTTCCACTTGCCTGCTCGCCAATGGCAAGTGGAAATTATGGTGGGGCCAGTGTGTCCCCCAGGGCCGTCTTGCTGAGCAGGCTCGGAGCTCAGGCCGGATCTGTCATTGGCACTGGGAGCCGTCAGACTGCTCAATAGCTGAGCGAAGTGAAAGCAAAGCAAGGAGTGTGTGCTGTGCTCTCTGCCTCCCCCTAGAGTGCAGTACCCAGATCTGTGAGTGAACAACGAAGTACTGCAACTTTTTATGGGGGGTGGTGGTGGTGTGTGTGTGTGTCTGTGTATGCATGCACAATTGTCCGTGTGTCTGTGTATGCATGCACAATTGTACATGTGTCTGTGTGTATCTGTACATGTGTCTGCGTGTATGTACATATATGTGTACATGTGGCTGTGTGCGTGTACATGTGTGTATGTACGTACATGTGTCTGTGTATGTATGTACGTGTCTGTGCGTGTGTATTTCTGTGTATGTACATGTATCTGTGTGTATGCGTGTCTGTACTTGCCTGTGTGTGTATACATGTGTCTGTATGTGTGTGTGTGTACATGTGTCTCTGTACGTATGTGTACATGTTTCTGTGTGTGTATGTGTATGTACATGTTTGTGTGTGTGTGTTTTGTTGGTGGCGAGTAACTCTAAGGCCTGGCTAGTAGCTCAGGACTTGGAATTTTAAGCCCTGGCCTAGCATGCCTCCTGTATAAAGTCCAGGTCTCACTGGCATACATCAGGGTAGTTGGCACTACGGCTCGGCAGACTTTGAGCTTCGTGGCATGGCTTGTTCCACGGCGGTCCCACACATTGGTCAGTAGTCTGCCAAATGCAGAGCTTGCCTTGGCGATTCTGCAGGTGACCTCGATGTCAATTGTCACTGCGCGGGAGAGGGTGCCGCCAAGGTATGTAATATTTTATTCGATAATAGACTAATAAAGGCGATTTATGTCCGTTGAATTTGTGTGACTATTCATCACCAGAAGGTTGTTTGTCACATCCAGCTCAATATATAAATATACACATTGATTTCCCACAGGGGGCACTGACACAGCTAATCCAATACTACCACCGATTCCACAAGATCCTCTCCCAGCCCCCTCTCAGGAATCTCCCGGTTTGTTCAGAGTTAATTAACCTTCATCACTTAATGGTTGAGCTGAAGAAACACAAACCCAACTTCTGAGCTGGAGGCGGCAATGGACGATGCTGCTGGAGAAGCACCCATGATGAAGAAGGCCTGTAATATAGAGTACGTCCCTATGTTATGTGTAAACGTCAGGATTGTCTTGTTCGTCTTGTGTTCAGAATTAATTTATAGATTATCCCTTTCCGTGTTCAATAAAAGTCTTTGACAAAACTACTTTGTTTGGCTTCAGTTCAGAAAACACAATTGTGACAACTAAACAAATGCAAAGACTACTTATAAATAACATCTAGGAAATGTTGTCTGCTATTAGAGTACATGAGGTGGATGGGAACCTCCGTCCTTGAGACCATGAGCCTGAATGATGGTCTGTCTCAGCCACCTACATACAGTTCGGTCCATATATATTTGGACACAGGCACAATTTTAGTTTTTTCAGGTATTGACCAAAACATATTCAAGCTATAATTACATAATGGATATGGACTGAAAGTGCGCACTCAGGTTTAATTTGAGGGTATGTACATCCACATTAGAGGAAGGGTTTAGCAATTAGATTCAGTAGATTACAAATGCAAATACCACACTTAGAATCAATAAAAGTATTGGGTGCCGCGCTCTATTTATTGTTTTAAAATTGAAAGAATTATTATTTAAACCAATGTGTGTTAATCTCTCTTAATTATCACCGTGAATAAACATTCGCCAATAAAATAAATAAAAAACAAAATAATTGTAAATAAAAATATAATTAATAGTGATTACAAATAAAAAAAACAAACTATAACTTTAAATGAAGGATGAATAGTCCCATATGCACTGAGATGATATCAAATTCCTTATACGTTCAGCGGAAGAATGAATGCAGTATACTCTCCTTTGTAATGGAAAATACTGTATAGCTGCAATGGTTAACAATAGAAGCTGCACTGTGAATCACTGTGGTAAACGAGGTCTCTCCTTCCCCAGCACTCTCCTTAATCCAGTTCTCCTCCCATGGATCATAAGGGAAATAAAAAGAGGTACATAGTGTCTTATCCGGGGTAAAAGACTTTAATGTGCGCTAGTAATACACTAACATGAAATTAAAATGAAATGCGCTTTTCATATATATAACCGCGGATAGCGGTGAGACCAGCCTTGTTGGTGTGCCTGCGCACACTGTCAATACTCGCCGTGTCTGAATGCGGATGCGTGGTGACGTCACTGCCCCTCCCCCAAAGGAAGCTACGAGTCCCTGTAGCGCAACGCGTAGGGGAGGGGCAGTGACGTCACCACGCATCCGCATTCAGACACGGCGAGTATTGACAGTGTGCGCAGGCACACCAACAAGGCTGGTCTCACCGCTATCCGCGGTTATATATATGAAAAGCGCATTTCATTTTAATTTCATGTTAGTGTATTACTAGCGCACATTAAAGTCTTTTACCCCGGATAAGACACTATGTACCTCTTTTTATTTCCCTTATGATCCATGGGAGGAGAACTGGATTAAGGAGAGTGCTGGGGAAGGAGAGACCTCGTTTACCACAGTGATTCACAGTGCAGCTTCTATTGTTAACCATTGCAGCTATACAGTATTTTCCATTACAAAGGAGAGTATACTGCATTCATTCTTCCGCTGAACGTATAAGGAATTTGATATCATCTCAGTGCATATGGGACTATTCATCCTTAATTTAAAGTTATAGTTTGGTTTTTTTATTTGTAATCACTATTATTATATTTTTATTTACAATTATTTTGTTTTTTATTTATTTTATTGGCGAATGTTTATTCACGGTGATAATTAAGAGAGATTAACACACATTGGTTTAAATAATAATTCTTTCAATTTTAAAACAATAAATAGAGCGCGGCACCCAATACTTTTATTGCTATCTTACTGATGCACACCACATGAGGGTGAGCAAGGATGCCTGCGACATATTGTTTATATACACACAGATATCTGCATCCTTCAGGGGCTCACAAGTAAATTTCACACAAACACTTAGAATCATCTCCAGACCTTTTACCTGCTTAACCCCCCTGGCAGTATTCCTGAGTGTAGCTCGGGGTTAACTTTTAGTACCAGAAGCGGTAACCCCAAGCTACACTCAGGAATACACTGTAGCGTTGCTCCGGGATCCCTTCTGCACTTACCTTGTCCTGCGCTCCCGCGATGTCCCCCCTGCAGTGTCCCCGGCCATCTCCTCTGGCTGATGCCGGCATTGTACGTGGGACGGAATCGGCGGGAATTTAAAAAATGTAAAAATTTGACATTCACTCAATACACTAAAATCTGATAGTATTCCATTCCTGTATCAAACCATTTCACATACATTTTGTCCCGAGTGCTTTGTCCGGCGCCCTGCCTGCATTTTTACTGTTCTTTCTGCCTGGAAACTGAGAAACGTCCATGGCGTCCCAAAAAGCGTCCCTTTAGGTCAAAAGCGGTTTTAGACCGGCTAGAGAACCGCGATAGTAAATCAGAACCACTTGCAGAATTGAGTGATGATTCGTGGGGGGGAAATTCCTCATCAGACACTGAAAATGATTCTGCGACTAAGATCAGTGATGTGTGAACTTGGCGCTATATTTAAAGTTTTAGTGTTTTTGGTTTGATTACAATATTGAATTCCATTTATTATTATATTTTTTATGATTATTTATTATATTATAATTTATGATTTCGTGTTTCAAATTTTTATCATACCCGGGATGTTTACTAGATTCTTGTTCGGACAGATTTCAGTGAGTGATTCCTAAAACTTACAGCCTACAATAAAAAAAAACAACAGATCCCCTCCCTCCTAGATTGTAAGCTCGAAAGAGCAGGGCCCTCGTACCCCTCATGTTTTGCATTGTATTGGTATTGTTCTGTCACATGTTCTGTCCCCCTTTGTAATGTACAGCGCTGAGCGAACTATCGGCGCTTTATAAATACTGTATAATTAATAATAATAATATTTCCATTGCAAACAATGTACCGCATTGAGCACAGACATACTGACATAATCTGATTGCCAGGGAGGTTAATTGATGAAGAAATAATGGAGTAGCCCACACCTGGCCATAAAACAGCTTTTGATTCAATTGTCCAATTACTTTTGGTCCCTTGAAAAAGGGGGGATGGCTATTCTTAAGAGCTGTAATTCCTAAACCCTTCCTCCAATGTGGATGTACATACCCTCAAATTAAACCTGAGAGTCTGCACTTTCAGTCCATTTATAGAACTATAGCTTGAATATGTTTTGTTCAATACTTGAAAAAAACCTAAAATTGCGCCTTTGTCCAAATACTGTATATATGGACCTAACTGTATGTGGAATGAAAAACTGGGACACCACCCTTCTGGGGTCATCCAGAAGCAGTGGCTGAAAAGTTGAATCCCACATCCTGAACCACATTCAGACATTGGACTCTGGAGAGTCATTTCCTTTTGGTAAACTAGTGCTGGGCATAGGGATGGCAGAACAATGTGGTGAAAGGCCAAGACTGAGTTAGGCAAAAAGGAAGTCCTGGGCCTCAACAACACCTTGTCTGTATGCAAGACGAGGCAGCTAGTTCAGACATTCGCAGAGGTGATGGGGAAAGGAATCACACAGGTGGTGCGAACACTGAGCGCATTTTCCAAGGGTTATTATAAAAGAAAAAACACAAAAAACATTCAAAATGAAGAGAATGTACAAGCCTGAATGCCACAACGTCAGCAGGCCGATTGTACCACCACGAGGACACTCTGCCATCATTGTGGCGTTCAGGCTTTTTCATATTCTATTCATTTTGTATGTTTTTTTTGTCTTTTATAATAAACCTTGGATAATGTGTTTGCGCCATTTGTGTGCTTTCTATCCAGTTTTGATGATTTCCCAGGCTGAGGTGGGCTGTACCACCGAGATTTTATCCATAGGTTATCAACTCATTGAACTCCCTGGCATTATGTAAATGGGATCAAACCGCGCAAATCTCCAATCACCTTACTTCACAAAGCCGCAAATATTAAAGAGGATATCCTCTCTTTCAGTGGTGTATTTAGGTTTTGTGCTGCCCTACGCAACACAAAAATCAGCGCCCCACCCCGCAGAAAGAGCCTGACATTGACCAACAACACCCCTGCCCTCCATCCGAGCCTTCCACTACCACTGCCCGGGACTCCCATGCGAATGCACGGGAGTGATGTCATCGTGGCCCGGCCTGTCAGACGGCTGGAGATCGCAAAACCGGAAGAACCGAGTGAAGATGGAAGCGTCTAGCAGCTGTGACAACGCGCCACTGGAGGTCTTCGTTGGGAAGCTGGGTTTCAACAGACTTGCTAAAACCAGCGACCAAGAATCAGGATGGCAAATAAAAGCCTTGGCACAGGAAATCAGGCAGTCTTGCAGGGCACATAATGCTTCTGCTCGCCAGGTCGACTAACCACATTCACCTGGGCCACGCAGCAGCAATGGGGAACAATAGCATACCCTCCATCTAGGATGTGTGGTTTCTGGAGAGGAAAGCCATAGATCAGGGTGCACTGATCCCATGAAATCACCGGAGCATCCAGTGCTTTCACCAGGGAATCCCTGGATACAAACCTGTCCTGTGTTAGCAAAACCAAAAATAATTTCAAAATTTAAGTGACTGTAAATGCAAAGTTTTTTTTTTTTTTAAATAACAAACAGGTTTATACTCACCTGCTCTGTGCAATGGAATTGCAGCGTAGCCCTTTTCTAGTAAAAGTCGGAGAGGCAGGGTGAACCTGTCTTATACGTATAGAAAGTCCAGGCTTTGCCCTTCAGGGTGTGCCTACCCTCAAAGGGGTCTTCAGGGACTGGGGTCCATAGCCATGGACCACAGCCCTTGAACTGTATAGCATTTTGCGGCTGACTCAGCGTGTTGCACCAAGTATCAAGGTGAGTGCCCGTGCGGAAAACAGTACCGGAAGCAACATTACAGGCCATCCCAACAGAATGGGCTTTACCGAGGCTGCGCAGATTCAGATACACTGCTTCTGTGTTGGTATCAGAAAACCGTGAGGGGCTGACTGAAAAATTTGCAGATAAAATAAAGAT